AAGGTAAGCAGTGATAGTTGCAGTGATAGTTGAATGTACTTTCTTTGCTCAAAAATGTTAGCGCACCCTTTCTGGCACAATTCTGGCTTCATTTTTGTGAATAGCATAGCTTTGAACAGGTTTTCAGGAACAGGTTTTGTGCATTGACTGTACAGAGGGTTCAGCATTTTTGGCCACTTCTTTTTGGTAGATTAGCTCCCAAGTTTAACCCTAATGCTTTAAGTGTTATATAAGATATTAAAACCCTTACTCTTGGCTACATTTATCTCTTAAAATTTTTCCAATTGGATATGTACAAATGATTTTACAAGCCCATGTACAAGCCCATGACTGTACAGAGGGTTCAATATTTTTGGCCACTTCTTTTTGGCAGATTAGCTCCCAAGTTTAACCGTAATGTCTTAAGTGTTATATAAGATATTAAAGCCCTAAATCTTGGCTACATTTATCTCTTAAAAGTTTTTCAATTGGATATGTACAAATGATTTTACAAGCCCTTGAATGAGCTGATCCCTCTCCGGCACGCTGACATTTTCTTCATTCTTCAACTCAAATTTGAGTAAGACAGTTTGATCAAAAAAAGGTTTCAATATTATTGAATAGTGTTAAATCTATAAAATAAATATCAAAAACCTTTTTCTGACAATTTATTACAAAGAAAATCGTCAGAAATGACAGCTTGCTGGAGAGGTCAACTAGTACTCATTCAAGGGCTTGTAAAATCATTTTTACAGCTCCAATTGGAAAACTTTTAAAAGATAAATGTAGCCAAGATTGAGGGCTTTTATATTTTATATAACAATTACAGCATTACAATGTAAATTTCACTAACTATAAGCTAGTGCGGGAGCTGATCAAAGCAGCACCGTCAAAGCAGCATCAAAACAGCGCCACAACAAAAACAGCCCCTCCGCAGTTAAGTTTCTATGTGTTTTTTTTATTCTTATTGAATGTAGAATGAAATTATCTACATTTTGCATACTTTGGGATCACTTGAAACAGAATTTGTGTCGAGAAAAGCTCAGTTAACCTCTTTTTGAGCCCATTTTCGTTTTTTTTGGCATTATCTTATCCCAGATTTGTTCTAAAAGGCTCGAAAAAATTCAACAAATAGCAAATTTGGTTCTAGATTCAATGAAAATAAGAAACACAAATAAACGTCACCGCAAACGCATTATTTTTGCCGACGCTCCTTGTACACAGCGCTGCTTTGACCAGCTGCCGCTAATTTCTCATCTACCGTATCCTCTCTAATAGTAGTGCGCACTACTATTTTTTACTATTATTACCCCTACTATTACCCCCTCCTGGACCGCAATACTATTAGAGGGTGCACTACTATTAAAGAGCTTTATCATTTACCAAAGTAAGACAGATATAAGATTTGTTCCAAAAATTCTTGCAATTCTTTCACGTACTCCTTTGGCTCCTTTTGACATACAGTTGTGGGCCGGCGAGCTGACAATTTGTGTCTTGACAAACAAGAAAAAGATATTTTTGCACTTTGCACAACAATTTTAGATTTTTTGCTAACTTTTTCATGTGAAGAATAGTTAATAAATGAATAAAAAAAACCTCACTTTTGCTTGCTTGAATAGCTTTAGAATGTCACATAAACATAAAGTCAAAAAGGTTTAGATGAAAAAGAAGCAAAGAGGAAATTCAAATTTTCGGGGGTGCACTACTATTTTTTTCAACCCCCTCCTGGACCGCAATACTAGAGAGTGCGCAATACTATTAGGTTGATGCATAAGTCTTTTCGTTTTTTTCGTACTTCTGTTAAAAAGTAACAAATTCACCAAATAATCTATAGTTTGCTCTATAAAAAAAGTGTTTTTTTGTTCAATTTGCATCTTTTTAAATGAATTTCGGTTGACTTTCAAGCAAATTCGAGAGTGAAAAACGCCTTTTTCGTAAAAATCTATAAAAAACTCTACGGAAAAATTGGCTGAATGAATTTCTCTGAAATTTCGGCGAAATATCAAACGTTTTTTTTCTCTATCTTTTATCTATTGACACGAAGATAGGTTTTCTTTAGCTATCTTTAGCTAAGGTGTCTAAACCGCATCATCGAGTTAGCCCTTTTTGACTACCCGACTTCATACTCTCAAGAAAATCCAGGCATTAAATATTTTTAAACCCGTTTTAATGTTATTTTGCAGAAAAATAATTGGTTTTTCTAATGAAATCAACCGTAGTTTAATTCGTGCATTTGTTGGCTTGAAACGGCAGACGAAAAGGAACGAAAAGACTTATGCATCAACCTAATAGAGAGTGCGCAATACTAGAGAGTGCGCAATACTAGAGAGTGCGCAATACTAGAGAGTGCGCAATACTAGAGAGTGCACTACTATTAAAGAGTGCACCTCTATTAGAGAGAATACGGTAATTTACTTTACATCCTTTACATTAACTTTGTACCTTGTATTACTTTAAATTAACTTTGTACCTTGTCTAAAAAATTCAAAATTCCAAATTTCCGATTGTCTGCCTTGTAAAAGAAAATTAGATAGAAAAAGAAGAAAAAAGTTTGTAAAAATCTAATCCGGATTAGCAAAATGATGTTGATTTTTAGTGAATTTGTGATAAATCCTTTCAAATGAGCTAAAGAAAAACTAGATTAACGTCTGAATTTTAAACTCTTCCTTGTCTAAGCTTGTCTGGTAACCTTTAAAAATCCAAAAACTCCAAATTCTGTCTTTTTTTTGTGGTTTTAAAGGTGTTCATCTCCTTTTTTTACCTCGAAGAATAAATCGAATTTCCCTTTTTATCAAAAAAATCGTTCCGAATTCACCAGACTCTCTAGGGACTCAAAAATCATCAACTTTTCTCTAGAAAAAGAAATTTTTTGATCGAATTTTGTTATTTTCTTAAAGGAAAAGTGTTCTCCAGGTGGAAATGAGAAAGTTTTTTGCATTTTTTTGCATTTTTCTGAATCTTGTGCTTCTCTTTATTGAATTTAGGAAAAGCAATGAGCTTTTGAAGTAAAGAAATTTTGGTTTTATAGTTAGAAATTGGTTTCAATTGGTTTCAATTGGTTTCAATTGGTTTCAATTGGTTTCAATTGGTTTCAATTGGTTTCAATTATAGTTTCAATAGAAAATTATTGTTTCTAATTGTTAAATTTAGCTAAATCTTGTTTTTCTTGATGACTTTCTTCGCTTGTTTGAACGAAATATCATCTTTTGTCTTTTTTGAACTCTCGAATCATTCAAAAATACCTATTGAATCTATTTTGTAGAGATTCTTTGTTATTTTCTTTGTTTTCTTTTCTTTATTAACTAATTTTCTGACTTAATTCCTTATTTTGCGTATTGGATGATAACGTTTGCTAAGCTACACTACTGGACAACGAAATATGATATTTGAAACAAAGATCGTCACTTTCGCGCGTCTGTAACTCCCTTGTCTTTACCGTATTTCTAAATATTAATATTACCATTGTGTAGCCCTTGAAAAGAGCTTTCAGAAAATGTATAACACTAATAGTTTAAACTCAAAGACAAGGGAGTTACAGAGGCGCGAAAGTGACGATCGTTTTTCAAGTGACGATCGTTTTTCAAATATCATATTTCATTGTCCAGTACTGTATCTACTGGAAAAAGATTTAACACCGATAGATTTTATCGAATCTTTAAGCTTTATTAATGACATTTAAACAAAAAGAGCAACTTTTTAAAGCACTAATTGCTGATTTGAAAGCTTTGAAGCTTTGAAGATCGCTCAAGCTTAAGAAATTCTTCTTCATTTTTCAGGGCTGTATTTTGTAGAGATTCTTTGTTATTTTCTTTGTTTTCTTTTCTTTATTAACTCATTTTCTGACTTAATTCCTTATTTTTCAACAATTTATTAGATTGAAAAGAGAGTTCTCTGAGAAAGTTTGATTTGATGGACTTAAGAAAAAAGAAATTGAATTATTGATAAAGAGAAATGGAGAAATGATAGGTTCAAATAGTATTTTGGTAATAAAATAGGAGACAGAAGTGATTGAATTTGTATAAAGTTAGCATTTGAGTAGATCCTAACTAACGCCACTATTAAGCTGGAAAGAAAGTTCTCGGAAAAAGTTTGCACGATGATTTCTCAAAAACCAAGCCATCAATTCTTCCTAGATTTTTCGATAAACTTGATTATTTAAAGTTTATGACAACAAAAATCAGAGTGAGCTTCAGGTCAAAAATAAGAGATTTCTTCAGCTGAAGTTCCTTTTCCTTGGCTAAAAACTTGGTCACTTTTTGAGTGGCCAGCCTTTAGACAAGTTTTTATTGGGTTAACGGATAGGTAATTGGTCCCATTCAAAGCCTAAAATCAAGTACCTAAAATAGGGAAAATTTGTGAGAAAGGGACATTTTTATCTAATTCTTGAACTTTTCAGAATCACCTATTTTAGCCAACACTCAGTGCCAAGATGGGGACATCAAAAAAAAATGATTTTTTGAAATACAGCTTCTCTGTAAAAGTCGTTTAGCCAAAAATAGAGATTATAGAGCGTATTACTCATTTATGCTAGCTTTATCCCATAAGGAATCCTCATAAGGAATCTTTTCTCGTGCAAAAAGTGAGCTGAATTTAAGATGGAAAATAATCATTTTTCAAAAATCTCTAAAATTTTAAGGGAAAGCTCATTTTTTGACAAGTAATTTCTTGGAGTCCACTTGAAAATAATAGAACAAAATATTCTTGAATTGACCGATTCGTTTTTAAGAAATTCTAGTCAAACTTTTTCTGAGAACTTTCTTTCTTAATACACAACGTTTTCCAAGCAAGATTTGTCGGTGTTTGACTCTTGAGTACGTCAAGAAAGATGTGTTTACACTTAGCACAACGAACATTCATTCAGCTTTAACAGTTTGGAAACAGTCAGTCAGCTTTAAGTCAGCTTTAAGTCAGCTTTAAGTCAGCTTTAAAGTCAACTTTAAAGTCAACTTTAAAGTCAACTTTCCGATTTCTATTTGATTTCATTATTGTACAGGATTTTCGAATTATACTTGATTTTCAGAATGATATCGATGAGGAGAACGAGCACGAAACGATTGCATCGACTACCCTCGAAGCCGGGCGAGATTTTACAAGAAGGACAATCGTGTCCGAATAGTCCAGCTGTTAAAAAGGTGAGGAAAAAGTAGACGCATTCTGTCGTATCATAAAAATTTACATTTAAAGATCGAAAGATACGTTTAATTTTTTAGATTTTAAAGAAAAAATCGTATTAGGACCGATTCTTGACTAAAGAAATGACCAAAAAAATTTCTCTTTTTCGCTGTAGTTTTGGCTGTACTTTTCCGATTCTCTGAGCGTCAATCTACCAAAATTCTTTGAGATCAATTTTCCCGTAAATTTGACTAGATATTTGCTACAAATTCTACATCCTGTGAAGCCATTTTGTTACTTAAACAAGCGGGAGTGGGACAGATCGCAAACAGATCGAATTTCTCTCAGTTTAGCTGCTTGTTTGGGAGTGGGACAAATGCTACCTTTTTTTCCGCACTTAGCCCATTAGCGCACCTTTTTTCGCGTTCTAAAAAAGCTCTAAAAGCTAATATCAACCAATTTCTATTCCAAAAGTTGTTTTTCTAGGTAATTTTAGGGTGTAGAATCGAAATTTTGACATATCAGAGCTTGTGGAAACAAACGGACGGAGTTATACAAAGAGAAAAATCAACAATTTTCTGTAATTTGACCTAGCCGTTTTGTCTTTCAATTTGATTTTCAATCTGCTGTCTGCTGGTATTATTATTTTCAATTTCAATGGTTCCACACGCTCTGTTATGTCAAAATTTCGATTCTACACCCTCAAATTACCTAGAAAAACAACTTTTGGAATAGAAATTGGTTAACATTAGCTTTTTAGAGCTTTTTTAGAACGCGAAAAAAGGTGCGCTAATGGGCTAAGTGCGGAAAAAAAGGTCGCATTTGTCCCACTCCCAAACAAGCAGCTAAACTGAGAGAAATTCGATCTGGTTTGAGAGTTTGTTTATCAATGTTTATCGATGTTTATCGATTCCCTAAGAATATTACTATTAATCCAATCAATCTCTACTTTGTATCATTTGCAATTTTTCTAGAGACTTTTAGGATAAAGAGTTCAAATAAACTTTACCAATAGATTCTACGACTCTGAAAACCCCGAAACACAAATTTTCAACATTAAATCTCCTTTGGAAATCCTTTAAAGAACAAAAGAAAAATCACTGTGACATGGTGTTCTTTATGCGCGCACAATCGCTTACGTCCTGGCATACCCGTCTGGTATAAGAAGCTTTCCTTTTTAGAATCAGTAAAGGAGAATAAGCGCTTAACCAGCTTTACCGTTTTGGCCGTCTTTTCACGACTTCAATTGTATTTTTGTAGATAATAAGAAAACTTTTTTACAGATTAACAATTACAGCTTACTTTTCAATCAATTCTTTTACAAGATTACAATGTTAAACTGAATTTATTTCAGACCTACCGCCTCGTGGTCGTTGGATCGCCGCGATGCGGGAAAACGGCGGTGGTCGACCGTTTTCTTGATCGAGAATTCCAAGAAAGATACATACCGACAATCGAAAACTTTCATCGAAAATTATACAAAGTAAAGAAATTATTAAAAAAAGATAGAATAATTCATCAGATTCGCGGAGAAGTCTATCAATTGGATGTTGTCGATTGCTCGGGCAATGATCCATTTCCAGCGGCCAGGAAACTTTGTTATCTATCAGGTAGGGGAACTTCGAAGAAATTATCTAAATCTATCTAAAGAAAAGCAAAGATTTGCATTTACAGCTTTAATATAAATCTGCTGTAAAAGAAGAATTCGGTGGCTGAATTAGAACTCTACAGTTTGCTGAAGTAAACTGAAGAGTTATAGCTATTATTGAGCTTCAAGCTTTGATTGGATAGACTGAATAACTTTAAAGTGATTAATAAGTGTAAACATAAGCTGATAATCTATAATATTATAGCTATTATTGAGATTTGGATATTTTCTGTAGGTGATATGTTCTTGATAGTCTCTTCGGTGGACGCAGCGCACTCGGTCGAGGCGATGACCGATTTCGCGCAACAGATCACCGATTGTAAAGTAAGTGTAAGAAATATATTTATACTTTGATCTTTACAATTTCTTGTGAGACCGTGTCTCGGTGTGGTTCAATGGTAGATGTCTTGAAAACGCACAATTTATCAAAACTTTCCCTTCTAATCTACGGGGTAACTAAAAGGGATGACTGGGAAAATGGTCAGAAGTCAGAAGTACTTTTGTGTTCTGTAAAGAATGACTCTTTCTGAAACACTTCATTTACTCCACAAATTTTAACAAACCCGTAACTTTCCAATACGTCCCTTATTTTGTTCCAATACGGCCCCTTTTTTTTTGATCCAATACGGTTCCAATCCCCCTGATCCTATATCCAATACGGTTCCAATACCGGCACGGCTATTCTGATCCAATACGGTTCCAATACGGCTCCTATTTTGATCCAATACGGTTCCAATACGGCTCCTATTCTGATCCAATACGGTTCCAATACGGCTCCTATTCTGATCCAATACGGTTCCAATACGGCTCCTATTCTGATCTAATACGGTTCCAATACGGTTTCTATTTTGATCCAATACGGTTCCAATACGTTTCCTATTCTGATCCAATACGTTTCCAATACGGCTCCTATTCTGATCTAATACGGTTCCTATTTTGATCCAATACAGTTCTTAGCAATAAAAGTTATCAACTTTATTTTTAAGTCTTTTTTCATTTAGTTTCTCATTTTCCTTTTTAGACCTCTCGAAATGAGATGCCTGCCAAAGTGCCGATGGTTTTTCTCCTCAACAAATCCGATCTACCGGATTCCCGGTGGCAAGTGAGTAAAGAAATATGCTAGATTTATATTCATTAGTTTTAATCAACTTGCTAATATAAGAATTAGGTCTCACCCGGAGAAGCGGAGGCTCGTTTATCGCAAGCGGATCTCTCCACAGAACAACTCGTTCAATGCTCAGCGGCCACGGGTGATAATATTGATAAAGTGAGTTTTGAATTGGATTTCGGCTTCGAAAATCAAGACGCAACACAGTTTTTTTGAGGTTTTTATGTAGACTTGGTGGAAAAGCTGTAACTAAACTCAAAAGCAAGATTCTGTTCAAAGATTGGTTAAGATTGATTGGTTTTTTTCAAAGTAAAGTGCTATTACAGAGTTGAGCAAGTTCAGAAGGGTAGAAGGGGGCAACAGCTTTAGCTTTAAGATCTTAATAACTTAATTAATTAATTAATTAACTAACTAATTAACTTATTCATCAAATTAGCCAAAAAATCTTGAATTTCTGTGTTATCAGTTAAGCAGCCGAAAAACGGTTGGATGTTTTGAGGGCATACGGCAGGGGTGACGTGCTGTCACTATGGCTCAGTGGGGAGCACGCTCGTCTATAGCCCACGGGACCCGGGTTCGACCCCGCCTCAACTTTTTCAATTTAACTTTTTCAATTTCTATCCTTTAAATAGCACAACTATAATATATTCTAAGGTTTTCTAAAGAATTTTTAGCTTTATTGGTCAAAAAACGGCTGAGAAAAAGACAGACAGACAGACATTGTAGATAACTTTTCAGGCTCTCGGCAAACTCTTTCAACAAGCTAAATGTCCAAAGCATATGAACCCGGAATTGCATAAAATGTTGCGAAATGAGTTGTCTGCTGATGGAGGTTTGGATTATGAAATTATCAAAGAAAATCAAGTTTCCAGTTCTAGAGCCGAGTGCCTCGTCATCGAAGAATGTGTTGCGACGAATGCGCTCAAAGTTTAGCAAAGACGGAGAAGAGGAGCTGGCTGTGTGAGTTTTATGGAAACGCTAGGCATCTGGTGGAGTTAATTCAGCGATTTTCATTTCAAACCATCGTAATATCTTTTTAAAAATGGAAACACAAGGCATCAGATGCCAATTTTTGATAGAAAACATCCCTTGTTGTTTAACAGTCCCTTGGTTTTCAACGAGCATTTTCATTTTCATTTTCATCGAATCATTCCAATTTCCCTATTCGTTTGCCCTAATTTCTTTCCCATTTCAAGAAAGTGATCAATCGAGGAAACTGGGGGGAAAATCGAAATGAAACTGATCTCTTTAGCACTATTTCTCTTTAGCAAGTGACCTAAATTCGTGAATTTTTATTGAAAGATATGGATAAAATGAAAAGGGAAATGGAGAGATTTGGGTTAACAGTCTGAATGATGGTTAAATGATCTGAAAAATGATTCAGGATACTGGGTCATACAGGAAATTTTTAAAATAAAGAAAATGATAAAGAAAAGTAACGAAAAAAGTGCTGTTTATATATATAAATTTCTTGAAAACCAATAATCCGATACAAACAAAGGAAACATAATAAGAAATAAAGGTCTAAACACACAATTTTATGGCACACTCGGGCGTTACTTCTATTACCGCTATTACCCAAATGTTGAGAAGGAAAAAAATCACTTGGTGGGAAAAAGAAACTTTTTTATCTTGTCAGCGTAACCCTCGACCTTCCGCTTAAAACTCCTAACCGCTTAGTCAGGACAAGACTCTTAATCGGTCAGTCATGAAATGAAAAACAACCCTTCCTTTCATAATAATCCACACACCCACCCCCCCCACCCCATAAAATCCCTCCCCAAAAACAAAAAAAAAAATTGGGATGGCAAAAAGGAAACAAAAAAGTTTATTCTAAAGAACAATTGATGTTAAATCAATGAAACTTTTTTTTTTTTTTCCTTTCCCCTTTTTTTCGTTTTTTTCGGTGGTTTCTCGCAAAAAATCCACCCAAAAACCAAAATGGTAAAAAGGTGGGCATCCTTTTTAATCCCTTTCTTTTTTTTGTTTTTTTTGGGTTTTTTCTTTATAAAAAAATAAAAAAAAAATATAAAATTTTTAATTGTTTGGGCACCTTTTAAAAAAAACATTTATTAAAAAATAAAAAAAAAAAAAAAAAAAAAAAAAAAAGTTAAAAAAAACACAATTTTATGGCACTGAGGCCGTCGTTATCCCTATTACTCCCATCCCCAAATGTTGTGAAAGAAAAAAACCACTTGGTGGGAAAAAGAAACTTTTTTATCTTGTCAGCGTAACCCTCGACCTTCCGCTTAAGACTCCTAACCCCTCAGTCATTTGGCTTTATGATGTACATTGCACTAGAAATGAAAATACAGACTTTCTAGTGCATTAAATGCCATACTTCAATTGCTTCAACTGCTTAAATGCCATACTTTAACTCAAGGAAAGAATGAGGATGCCAGAAAGAGAGCTTTTATTCTAAAGAAAGTTTATTCTAAAGAACAAACACTGTACTTGATTGAAAGACTAGTTATCAGAGTTTCTTTTTGCTCAAAATTTGATCCGTTTTTTTCAGCTACACCGACGTAAATGCTCGACGTCCATCGTTGCGAACGGATTTGTTAATGAATCGGGCAAAGACTCAAGTTCACAAGCAAACTTCAAACGGTTTCAAGGGTGATCCAGCGGCCGCGAATGCTCGCTGTACAATTATGTAATCATTGCAATGAAATTTTTTGACTAAATTACCGTAAAAATTCCAATAGTCCTGCAACTTCCATGGACTTTTTTTCAAGTATAAAAAACTTATTCCAATTTTACAATTTTACAGAAAGCTATTAGTAAAATGAGTCTATAGCCAATGAAAGAGCTAATGAAAGAGCCAATCAAGGGCCAATCAAAGGGCCAATCAAAGGGCCAATCAAAGGCCAATCAAAGGGCCAATCAAAGAGCCAAGGAAAGAGCCAAAAGTTCTAAAATATCTAAATCTAAATCTAAACCATAAGCTTTTGATATAGCCTAGTTTTAAATCGATTTTGATTGGTTTAAGATTGCGAGTCTAGATCGAGGCTTAAGGATCGATTAATACTTGATGGGGATAAGACAATAGACTTTAAGACAATAGTTGATCTAGTGCTAGCCCTTGAACTAGTATCATTATAGATTAAACATGGGAAAACTCCAATCCTAACCAAAATCCATCTTCGCTTCCTCGTTTTTTAGCCAATTGCTCTGAACTTTTATCTACAGATACAGATTCAGCTTGTAAATAAAATTTCAAAGCAATCGGACAAGAAACGGCTGAGAAAACGAAAGTGGGATTAGGTTTGAATTGGAATTTTCCCATGTTTAATCTATAATGATACTAGTTCAAGGGCTAGCACTAGATCAACTATTGTCTTAAAGTCTATTGTCTTATCCCCATCAAGTATTAATCAATCTTTAAGCCTCGATCTAGAATCGCAATCTTAAACTAATCAAAATCGATTTAAAACTAGGCTAGTTTTAAACCGCTTAAAACTAGTTTTTTATGTCTAGTATAGAATCTGGTACTTATATTACGTTCTATCCGGAAATCCGTCCAATCTAAACTGATTCTAGATCGGACGTCCAATCTAGACTGAAGTCAGGTCAAACGTCCGATCTAGAATCAAGCTGATCACTCTAAATCTAAGCCTGGATCGGACGTCTGATTTAGAGTGGTCGGTTTGTTTCTAGATCGGACGTTTGCCCTCACTTCACGATCTAGAATCAATCTAGATCCAACATATATATTAGATAGCTCAAAAAAGGCTGCAATTTTTCAGGTGTTGAGAATTGGGTTCCCGAATTTCTCTTTTAAATCAAAAGCATTCAAAGCTTAGATTGGCTTTAGTATTCTTTAAGTTTTTAATAATTTTAAGGAGAATATCATATGTAATATCGGACGTCCGATCCAGACTTAGATTTAGAGTGATCGGCTTGATTCTAGATCGGACGTTTGACCTCACTTCAGTCTAGATCGGACGGATTTCTAGATCGGACGCAACACATACAATGTTGTCAAATCAATGAGTTAGGTTAAAAAAGTCAAAGTCAAAGTCAAGCTAGTCAAAAAAAGCATTGGCTTTAAGCAGATCTGACCAAAAGGTTGCCAAATTTACATTTTGAATTGAGTCTCTAGACATTGTTGGTTCTAGATTCATGTCCTTCATCTTATAGTCAGTTTTCATTAACTTTAGCAAAACGAAATCACATTCTAGCTCATCTATTGGAATCATTACGGTACATTAATGCTATTCTTAGGGTAGGCTATCGCCATTTGATTTGCGCAACTCGCCATAACTTTCTTCTCGTTGATCCAATCTTTATGATTTTAATGTCATTTTGTTGCACTTATTGAGATCTACAAAATAAAATTCAAATCATAAAGATTGGCCAACTTAGAAAAAAGTTATGGTGAGTTGCGCAAATGAAATGACGAAAATTAGCCTACCCCTTTATTCTTTTTGATTTGTAATTTGCATTTTCAAGTATTCATTCTTCAACCAGGTCCACAAAGAAACCGGTGACGTCAATTTAAAGCTTAAACTTTATAACTTTATCTTTTTCTTTATCCTATTTTCCTAGCATCATTTCAATCGGGTATTTCCCTACACAAATTTCCCATTTCAAATGCAAATCTCGCTCATTATATGAAAACTTTTATCGATTTGTACAAAATGAATAAATGGAATGTTTTCTAGAGAATAAGCATTGAAAAACCCGAGGTTGATGAGGGGATTTTGAATGGAAATCTTCAATCAAGAGTTTTATTTCTTTATTTCCCAGCTGAGCTGAAAGTGGGTGTGTATTGGCAAGCGTTGTAGTCGACTGGAGAAATCATGTTGAAAGCTTTCGTCATCACGTTAATATAATCTAAAAATTCGCATATAAGCTATCAGAAAACTTTAGTATTTTGAAGATTGAATAGCTTTAAAATCTTAATTGAAAGATAATGAATTTGATCTAGTTGGCTGAATATTGAAATGAGAAAGCCAGAAAGCCAGAAATAGTGCTTTTTTAAGCTGAACACTTTACTATTGGGTTGGTGAATTGAAAACTGCGAGCTATTGTCATATGTCTCTATCTCTTCAATCTGTTCTGACCATTTCCGAATCCTCAAATTGGACAGTGACTTCTCCGCAAATCAAGGCTAATCTCAATCTACTGGGTTGGTGAATTGAAAACCGCCGGCTATTATCATATATGACAGTTTGAGCACTTTCTTCAAAAGAAACCCATTTTGGTGTCAATGGAAAAGTTGTAGAGAATCAAAAATCAAACTTATATCCAAATTTTTAGAACGATTCAAAAGCTGGTTTTCAAGAAATGCCCAAGTTACGAATTTTCACAAAACTTGCATTTTAAGCGAAACTACTAAGTGTATCTTTTTGGAAATTTGGCTGTAAGCCTAATTTTTGATTCTCTACAACTTTTCCATTGTCATCAAAATGGGTTTCTTTTGAAGAAAGTGCTCAAACTGGGACATCTCCAGTCCTCGATTTTTGTGTCTCACTCTTGTCTCACACACAAACCAAGATCCTACTACGAAAGAGGAATCCGTAAATTGCCTGTAAAATGGGCAGAAGTCGTCAATAACAATGGAAATTATTTGGAATTAATTTATGGTTTAATGTTGAATAAATTTTAGTTCAAAGTCCCGCAGTTTTCAATTCACCAACCCAATAGTTGGCTGGGTTGTTGAAATGAGAAAGCCAGAAAGCCAGAAAAGGTGCTTTTTTAAGCTAAACACTTTACTAATTGTAAAATTAAGTTAAGAAATTCGATTGTTTATTTGCTAAGAATTCTTTTCGTTGCTTTAAAACATTGTCAACTCACTGTTATCCTCCAAAAACTGAAGCACGTTCTTCATGTGTTCCTTTTGGAATCTCTCTGGATCTCTGGCGATTACAAACACTGGGAATCTCACCTGAACATGGTAATGTTAAATATAGAAAGTTTAATGAATCATCAAAAATGAAAACAAACCCAATTCGAGACAATCGCGTAATCGTATTGATTGTACTCATTCAATGGTCCTTTCTTGATGATCCAAACTAAAATCAGGCTAAATTTTTAGACACTATTCAGTCTAAAAGCTGAATAACTTTCTATATTTTAACAATTTCACATATTTACTTTTGTCAGCTAGATCTATAAACTGAAATTAGTGAAAAAAAAGGACTTAATCTTTAGATTGACATGGCATTGACATTACAAACATTAGGCTGTCTTTACAGTCTTCCTTTCCAAACGTTTTTAAAAATAATGACAGCATTAACACAATTTCTAGTTAAACTATTAAAAAGCTTGATTGTTTCTCTGCAAAATGGCTTTTGAGAAATTCTTGAAAGTAGTTATTTTTGTCGATTTTCAAAGGCGCAAAGGTGAGCACCCGAAACTGGTCCGATGTTGAGGTCATGATTTGGACACTTTCTTCAGAAAAGATAGAAAAGAAATAGAAATAGAAAAGAAAAGATAGAGCTCATTTGATTGCATAAGTCTGCAAAATTTGAAACCTAAGAAATCTCATAGAATTAACTTTAACTCTAGAAATCTAGAACAGCACTAAATTTTACCGAAAAAAAAACCTTTCTTGCATTAATTCAAAGCAAAACATAACGCTTTTTAACCATTTTCTAAAAATTTCATACAAATTTAACGCTTTTAAACATCAAAACGCGTAAATCAACTATTTTTTCGGCAAAATTTGATGTTAACGAGATGTTTTAGGTAAAATATTCTGCCTAAAACAGCTTGTTAGCACCAAATTTTGCTAAAAAAAATCGTTTATTTACCTGTTTTGCTATGTTTTGCTTTGAATTAATGCAAGAAAGGTTTTTTTTTTCGGTAAAATTTAGTGCTATTCTAGATTTCTAGAGTTAAACTTCTATGAGATTGCTAGAAAATTCAAAGTTAATGATTAAAAACATGATACAATACTGTGCAAGAATATTTCAATTCAAATCAGCTATCCGATTTTGATTGAAATTCGAATCAGATCTCCTATTTTGATTGAAATTCGGATCAGATCTCCTATTTTGATTGAGATTCGGATCAGATCTCCTATTTTGATTGAGATTCAAATCAGCTATCCGATTTTGATTGAAATTCGAATCAGATCTCCTATTTTGATTGAAATTCGAATCAGATCTCCTATTTTGATTGAGATTCGGATCAGATCTCCTATTTTGATTGAAATTCGAATCAGACCTCCTATTTTGATTAAAATTCGAATCAGATCTCCTATTTTGATTGAGATTCGAATCAGTCCTCCTATTTTGATTAAAATTCGAATCAGATCTCCTATTTTGATTGAAATTCGAATCAGATCTCCTATTTTGATTGAGATTCGAATCAGTCCTCCTATTTTGATTAAAATTCGAATCAGATCTCCTATTTTGATTGAAATTCGAATCAGATCTCCTATTTTGATTGAGATTCAAATCAGCTATCCGATTTTGATTGAAATTCGAATCAGATCTCCTATTTTGATTGAAATTCGAATCAGATCTCCTATTTTGATTGAAATTTCAATTAAATAATGAAATCTATAATAAATTGCATGTAATTTAAATTCACTGTATCAATTTACCTTATAAATAAAAGAAGTTAGTTTTAAACTTACATGGCTCAGCATCAGGAGCATTGGAGGTGTGAAGAACGAATTGACCAGTCTCTCCACTCTTAAAACCATAACCAAGAGAAAATCTACAAAAGAAATAAACACCTTTCTATTTCGTTATAATAATTTTTTACCTTGGTGGCCCATTCGCGTTTCCTTCTCGATAAAACTTGAGCACGGTGAACGTGGCTGAATACGTGGGAGTGTTCCCGTTCAGCGAGTTGTTCGTCAATGCTCCGACTAAATTTGTTGTGCTAGGTGGATAAATCTTGATATAAAACTCGAATAAACTATATAAAACTATAAAAAACATACAATGTGAAATGGTGCAGGCTTCACGGATTACATGAGGGCTGTTGATCACCTAAAAAGTTTAGGGGATTTTATGTAAGCAAGGAGCATTCTGGCAATTGGTGAATTTGTGATTTTTACGAAAAGAAACGAAAAGACTTTCTGGACAGTCTAATAATTACATTAAATCTAATACTCTATCAGTTTTAAGCTTTATTCTGATAATGTTTATTCAACTATGCAACTTTTTTTGAAATTAAACTAACTTGAAACCATCTGCCCATCATTCGTGCCACATCGACATTCTCTGCAGCTGGGTGAATCGCTTTGAAGACATCTTTAGCCAAGTTTTTGGCAGAGTCCTGGAATTGTAAATAAGCTGGAAATAAGCTGTAAGCTGTAAGCTGTAAATAAGCTGTAAATAAGCTGTAAGCTGTAAGCTGTAATAAGCTGTAAATAAGCTGTAAGCTGTAAGCTGTAATAAGCTGTAAATAAGCTAAAAATAAAGACTTCTGTGCTCTAGATAGAAGACATTTCTCTAGATAGAATAGAACACAAAAAAATATTCAAGAACTAAAGCCAACCTTTGGCAGAATTCGGCTGATCGATGAGCCGAGTAAGGTGTTCGCTGGTGGAATCATCTGAGGGACAAGTTGACCAACCTAAACAGATAAATGGTTAATAGTTTTGTTAGTTTAATAGTTTAATAGTTTAATTTTAATAGTTCTATAGTTTAATAACTTTAATAATATTCTTTTGTTCAATTACTGACAAGATAGTTGAAATTGCTTAATCCGGGAATTGTATTCACTCCGGGGATCGTTGGGATATCTTGTGGTCCTGGGAAACCGGGCACAGGAATTGGAGCCAATCCAGCGATCTGTCCAGATGCAATGCCTCAAGTTCATTAGATAATTCGACAAATTATCTAGATAATTAGTGGAAAAACCTTGTAAATTGACTCTATTTGAGTTCGCTTCTTCAACAATCGAGTTGAGATCTTCATTTTGTGCAAATGATGTGGGAGCTCTTCTCATATCACCTCGGAAGCCCATCCTTGCCAGAATACTCTCAGCAACCTCACCTACCTAGAAATATAAACAATTTCATACCAGAATTTGAAAAAAATCTTACTAAAATGCTGAATTTTCCTTTAAATAGTTAACCATTGCAATGTTTTTTTCTTGGTTTTCGTTTAAGCAAGAATTTCTAAAGCTTGAACGATCTTCAAAGCTTCAAAGCTTTCAAATCAACAATTAGTGCTTTAAAAAGTTGCTCTTTTTGTTTAAATGTCATTAATAAAGCTTAAAGATTCGATAAAATCGATAAAATCTATCGGTGTTAAAACTTTTTCCAGTAGATACAGTACTGGACAATGAAATATGATATTTGAAAAACGATCGTCACTTAAAATAGCGCCGAAAAACGATGGTCAGTTTGGAGCTAACTGTAGCTCTGGTGTCTATTGAGTTTAAACTATTGAGCCTCGGAATTTCTGAAAGCCTGGAGCTCAAACAATGGTAATATGAATATTTGGAGCGAATACTTGGAGTATGGAGCTGGAGCTGGACCTACTGGACGATTGTTGCAAATATGATATTTGAAGAACGATCGTCACCTTCTGTTTTAACTCCCTTGGGTATTTGAGTTTAGATATTTGTGTTATGCATTATCGGTGTTGGGAAAAAAAATACGATATAGGTGAATACAATATGTTACAGCAGAAAAACTCATGTATACCCTAATTTGGCCCCTGGGTCCCAACGGGTCACCCCCCCCCCCCAAAACACCCCCCCCCTATCCATTTTGATGGTACACGACTGGACAATGAAATATGATATTTGAAAAACGATCGTCACTTGAAAAACGATCGTCACTTTCGTGCGTCTTTAACTCCCTTGTCTTTGAGTAGTTTAAACTATTAGTGTTATACATTTTCTGAAAGCTCTTTTCAAGGGCTACACAATGATAATATTAATATTTAGAAATACGGTAAAGACAAGAGAGTTACAGGCGCACGAAAGTGACGATCTTTTTTCAAATATGATATCTCATTGTCCAGTAGTGTATCGAATACTAATTGACTTCCGGGATCTTTTTAAAGCATAGATAGTATTGAAAGCAATCAATCCTCACTTATAATGCCAGATTTTGAAGGTTTCTTTTTACAAATACGATCACTTTTCTTTACATAACACTAACCTTAGCTAAATCCTGTCGTTGCTTCTCGTTCAATTGTTGATTGATCGGTTCCACGGGTTCTTCGGGCTTAATTGGTGGGGGTAGCTGAAAACTGTCTTTAAATAAAGGCAAATGAAAGTTATTACTTTCTTTTTCTCAAACTTAAACCTACCTTTTCTACATCATTTCCAGCTGGAGCGGCAGAGATGAGTCCCAACAATGGGGCCAAGTACAATAACCGCATAATAGATAAAAGTACAATGAAAAGGTGAAAAGTGAAATCTAGAAGTTGAGTTTTCTTTTTGAAAGAGAGAAATTTCAGAGCTGAAAAGAGAAATCCGGTGACCGTTAAGCTTTCAGAGAAAAGAGGACAAGGGAGAAGAGGACTAGAGTCTGAAAAAGAGCGGATATTTGGGGGAAAAGGAACAGTCAGACTACGACTATCTCTCTTTTCAATGGCCTAAATTCTCTGGATAGAAAAAGAGCTTTAAATCCATTCAATGAACTTTCACTGAAAGTAACAAAATGATAGCTTTCGGATCAAAATGATATTCAAATATGGGGAAGTGGATTTGTAGTGAATGTTCAGAGTTGGTAATGGTTGAATTGAATGACTAACGATCAGAGATAACGAGGAATTGATTTCAATTCAAGCAAAGTTTACTTTTAAACAAAATCTTTAACAAATCTTTTATCTCTTATTTGTAAAATTCAAAAGAAAAAACAAAGAAACATGATTTTTTTTGATTTTTGACTCAGCGATCAAATTGAAAGTTGAAAATGAGCTTTTTTAAACGAATACAGCTTACATTTATATGATTTTTATGATAAAAAAGCCAAAATTTATCTAATTTTGATCATATATAATCAAAATTTATATGATTTTCAATAATATATCAAGAAAAAAAGAGCAACTTTTCAGATTTGATTTGATTTAAAATTGATTTTTATCAAAAAACGAGGGTTTCTTTTGGTGTTAAATCGCTCCTACTTGTATTTCCATCGAAATTTTATCTAGTAAACTTATAGAATGAATAAGTTTAAGATAAGAGTTATTTATAGTCTATAGATCTATAGATCAATAGACTGTAGATAATTGAATATCTTGTGAATAAGATCTATAGATTTATAGACTATAGATAACTCTATAGATAACTGAATATCTTATGAATAAGATCTATAGATCTATAGACTATCGATAACTGAATATCTTATGAATAAGAGCTATAGATCTATAGATCTATAGATAACTGAATATCTTATTCAGTTATCTATAGTCTATAGATAACTCTATAGTCTATAGATCTATAGATCTATAGATCTATAGATTCAGTTTTCTAACAATCTCCTAATTTTACTATTAGCCAGTTTTCTCCTTTTCTTTCAGTCATAAGCGCTCCGTTCTCACCCAGAATGGTGTTAAATCGATCCTACTTGGATTTACATCGAAATTTTATGTAGTAAATCTATAGAATGAATAAGATATTCAGTTATCTATAGTCTATAGATTCAGCATTCTAACAATCTCCTAATTTTTGCTATTAGCCAGTTTTCTCCTTTCCTTTCAGTCATAAGCCCTTTCTTGTCCCTCGCGACAGCTTTCAGCTTTGGTCAAGTGGCTAAGCGTCTCGATTCTAAAGCAGGCGATCCTGGTTCGACTCCGGTCCCAACCACCATTCGTTACTATCCGCTTTTCATTTCTATTGAATCGGATAGGGGTTTATCTGGTGGAAAATCAATTAGAACTTATTACGTTTCAGACTTTGTTTCTAAGTCTGAAATTCGCAAGAGTTCATACAATTTTGACTTTCTGATTTCTATTGTTAAAGTTTTAAGCTTTTAAAAAGATTTTATTCAAAAAAAATCCAAACACATAAAAAATAAAAGAAAAAACGAGTTGGAATGCGAATTTTTTTGGTAAAGATCTTTCACGTAATAAAGTTTAGTTAAAAAATTCTTATCTATGTACAAAAATAATGCACAAATGCCCGGCTAGCAAGAGGAAAAAAATTGAAAGACTTATTTTAAAATCGATAAAATCGATAAAATATGAAAATCCTATTGTAATGAGAAGGAGAATTTATAGAATTTATCCTTGAAGATTGAAGAGTGATGGCGGGAAAGTGCACATACCGCTGTCAACAGAGGAGACAATGTTTAAGAGCTTTGAGAAGCCATTCACCCAACCTTTCTTCTCCATCAGCTCAGTCACCTCAGCCTCGTATTTCTGAAAAGATTTCACTTGTCAATTAGTCAAGAATGGTTAGAGCAAACTATTCTTAAACAATTGATTTTTGATTTCTGCGTGACAGCCCCATTTTGCGTTCTAAACATGTGTTTCTTAAGAAAAAACGCGATCTGGCACACGGTGCAAACATATCCCCCACGTTTCGGACTTGATTTGGATGAAAAAAAGACCTGCACCGAACTACAAAATAGTGGAAGTGGCGGATAGGCTTGTTGAAAAAAAAAAAAATAAAATCCTGTGCCCCCCATCCCTCCGGAACTTTCCCCAACCACATCATGACTTAAGACTTGTTCGAGCACTATTGGGGTGAAATTGGAAGCAGTTTGATTGAGAGTTGGTTGATCTAACTGATAGCAGAATCAGGGTTGTTTCCGAGACAATTTTTCAAGAAATCTTGAGGCCAATTTTATCTTCTGACATTGGTTGGGTTGGTTAGGCTTTGGATAGGTTTGGCTTTGCTGGACAAAGGTTTAAAACTGACTAGATCCACCAAACCACCATTTATCCACCATTTATAATCTAGCATTTACCAATTTACCTTCTAGCAATTTTGCTAAACGGATTTAGCAGTTTAACATTTACCAATTTTGCTAAACATCTCCGAGAGTGTTTAGCAGTGCTGCCAGCTCCGAAACACCTATAGCTCTGCTTTGGACAAAGATATAAAAAAAAACTCTTCCCAGATTCGAACTCCGACATACTTAAGCTATAAAACAAGCCGAATTTAGCTAATTTTGAGCACATAAACTTACCTTTATCTGGCTCAGAATATTCAGCCTACAAGAAACAAAACTCAATTTGCTAAATTTGGCAAAATTGTGACGTTTAGCACTTAGCATTTAGCATTTAGCAAGGCTAAATTGGTAGATCGATTTAGCAAAGAGTTTTTTTTGATATCTTTGTCCAAAGCAGAGCTATAGGTGTTTCGGAGCTGGCAGCACTGCTAAACACTCTCGGAGATGTTTAGCAAAATCCAAGGTTCACCAAAAAGACTTGGTTAACTTAAGCCTAAGCCTAAGCTTGATGGACCTAAGCCTAAGCCTGATGGACCTAAGCCTAAGCTTGATAGACCTAAGCCTAAGCTTGGTGAACCTAAGCTTGGTGAACCTAAGCTTGATGGACCTAAGCTTGATGGACCTAAGCTTGATAGACCTAAGCCTAAGCTTGGTGAACCTAAGCCTAAGCTTGGTGAACCTAAGCTTGATGGACCTAAGCTTGATGGACCTAAGCTTGATGGACCTAAGCCTAAGCTTAAGCTTGGTGAACCAAAACCTAAACCTAAGCTTGGTGAGCCCAAAAATTTAGCCAAATTTACCTCTTTTTTTTCTAAATTTAGCAGTTGGTGGACCCAGACTGAACCTTTTGACCAGACTTTGACCTTGCTTAACCTGTCATTTGACTTTAGTTTGATTTTGTTGCTTTTCAGCGGTGAACCTTTTGTCGAATACATTAATGCTAAATCACTAGGGTTAACTTTTCCACCTGCTTATAAACAATTGGATCCCTTGCAAAGACGTAGAGTGGATAATTGCAATTCGTCGACATCACCACATACTCGTACTCACTATTTGAATTGAGTGGGCCGACGTGGAGAACGTGAACTAAACGAGGAGTTGAATAGTTTGATAGAGGAGCTCACTATTGACGTCCTCTTTGCTTCCCGATGTTCTCATTAAAAGCTCTCCTGGGGATTTCACAAGCGCGTACCCGGATGAGATCATCGGTTTTCCGTATGGAGTGCCATCGGTAGAATATTCGAAAGTCTCGAACAAGCTACCAGCTCCTAAAATCCAAATTTAAAATCCTGAAATCTTTTCAATACATTATCAGGTACAAAATTTGACTTTTTATAGATAAATCATTTTATAGATCACATTTAAAATAGAGTCAAAAGAAGCAAAGAAGTAGAGCATAAGTCTACCTTTTTTTTAGCGACTGGATTCTTTAAATTACCATATTTTCTAATTTCATAACAGTACTAATAACAGCTCTATATGAACAATACTATAATTTCTTTCAATTACTACTTACCGTAAATACTTTAATAGTACCCCACCGCCATAATGACGGTGCGGAGTGTTGTGTAGTCTAGCTTTGAACGAGTTTTTCTCGACACTGGTTTATGCTACAATGCGCGCTTAGGTATCAAAAAATAGCTGAAATTCAGGGCTATTTTTTGATACTAAAGCACGCATCGTAGCATAAAGCAGCGCGGAGAACGGAATGTTTAAAGTTAGACTACGCAACAATCCCGAAAAAAGGCGTTTTTCTCGACACTGGTTTATGCTATGATGCGCACTTAGATATCAAAAAATAGCTGAAATTCAGGGCTATTTTTTGATACCAAAGACGCATTTTTTGAAAGTACGGGTGCTTTGCAAAAAATGAAATACTAAAAAGCTTCTGGACCCCACCCCCATAATGACGGTGCGGAGTGTTGTGTAGTCTAACTTTGAACGAGTTTTTCTCGACACTGGTTTATGCTACGATGCGCACTTAGATATCAAAAAATAGCTGAAATTCAGGGCTATTTTTTGATACCAAAGACGCATTTTTTGAAAGTACGGGCGCTTTGAAAAAAATGAAATACGAAATAACTTTTGCGACTACGCGACTGTACGAGGGCAGTGGCGTACTATTACAGTATTTACGGTATTCATTCTACCTCCATTGTTGACTTCGCTGAGTTTCTTATAGGCAACCATACTGCACGGTCCATGAGAAAGTGGAGGTGAGTAGACCACCTAAAAAGTCAAATTGCGATTCGATTTGAGACAAAAATGACACTTGAATTCGTCATAAAATAAAGCATGAGGCCCAATTAGATAAATGTCTGTAGCTCATTGGTAGAGCGTTGGCCCGGTAAGCGAGTCCGTTAAGCGAGAGGTCGTGGATTCGAAAGATTAAAAAATCAGAGAAGTGGGCAATTAAGTTGTTTATTTTCTTCTCTCATAGACAACTAGAGTTCGTCAAAAGTCTTTTTGAATGAGCAAAACGATCAACCAAAGATCTGCGTTTGCACAAAAGACCTGCAATGGAATGGTCTAACTTGGGATCCCAACTCCAAATACTTCTTATTTGTAAATATTTAAAGCTGATTTAAAATGTATAGATAACTTTTGATAAGAGACAAATAGCTTTCACAAAAGACCAACAATGCAATGAAATAGCCGATCATGTTTTATCTTCCCAATTCAACTATTGCAAATTAAAATTCACCTGATACCATTGACCGAGAATGGCATAAAAGTCAAAATCAACTGGATCGGGTTTAGAAGTGCAAAGGGGTGAGCTTGGTTGGATGATCAGGTTTTGAATCATTTCCAAGTTCTCTGAATAGATATTTATAGATATTTATAGATATTTATAGCTTTTTATAGCTTTTTTCTTTTAAATCTTGATCTGGCTGACCTCCAATAGCTGACTTCTGAGCATCGGTGAGTTCGGTGTTGTTCGAGCTGGAGTCGGTGTCATTCTTAAGAATTGACCCAGCGGTGAGAGCCTGGAATGTATGCATTGTCTATGGAAGTATCTTTTTCAAAGAATTGTTTAGAATTCAAGATTCTGTCACGATATGTTTAGAATTCAAGATTCTGACTAGGTTCTAAAGCATTCAAATATGTCTTTGAGATCTGACAAAGAGAGAATTCAACATAAACAGCCAACAAAAGAAGAAAAATTAAATTCTTCTGACAATTTGACCTTTTTTAACATATTTCTTGACCTTACTCTTGAGTTTACAATCATAGCTAAACCTTAGAATCATAGCCAAACCTTAGAATCATAGCTAAACCTTAGAATCATAGCCAAATCTTAGAATCATAGCCAAACCTTGTACAAAGCTCCGGAGAAGAAGTTCTTCATCGGAATCGGGCTGTTCTCTCCACCCAACAAATTCGAGACTCCGGCGGCAAGCGATTTTGCATCGGATTCATTCGTCGCCTTTGGTCCCTCTTTGGCTTTCTTTGCTCCAAGAGAGATCAAATTGAGAATCGTTCCGATGAGTCCACCACCTCCTGTCGATGTCTCTTCAGCTAATCCTCCATATTCGCCCTCGTTCGGTTCTCCGTCGTCATTCGTCGGCACCTAGACAAAATTGGGGTTTGTTCTTTGAATCGTTTTTAAACTAGCTGAAAGATCCGCCTGACTAAAACCCGCCGAGAAAACGGCTGAGAAAACGGCTGAGAAAATGGCAGCCACCCCGCTTAACAGCGGCGCAGTTCATCGCGCATTCAGTAGCGCGCATTTCTACGGCCCACACGATCCGGGTTCGACCCAGGGTTCGACGTCACTCTATTTCCACTTTGTAAATTTTTATCTTAAATGGCACAACTACAATATATTCTAAGGTTTCTTAGAAATTTTAGCTTTATTGATCAAAACACGGCTGAGAAAATGACAGAAAAGCAAACAGACAGTCCGAATCCGAACTGACTTTATATTTCTTTACTAAATTGACTTTTTCCAGATTTGGCTTCACTTTAGGAATCTATAAATCTTGCTCTACAAAATGACACCAAAATGTTCAAAATCGACTCACTAGTTTTGGAGATACAGCCACGCAAAGTGTCGAGGTCAAGGATTTAATTCAAATTCAGATTTAGCATCAGAAAAACCATTGAAAGTCTTGGCGCTTATTGAAGAAATTCGTTTTTCTTCGTTTATAGATAAATTGACTCATTTTGGGCTTCTTGGCTTTTTTGATCTAGATGAGCTTGAGCACTCATCAATTGAATCAATTCAATTTGATTCAATTGATGGGCTTGCTTTCAATTCGTTTTGTATTTGTTTCTTCGTTCAGAAACTCGACAAGGACAACAGTGGCGATCCGTTTTGTAAAAGCTGTTTTTTTATTCAAAGCTCACCTCTCCAACAGACTCAGGTGCTCGCCGAATATCCGATGAAAGCATTCCATTTTCGGGAACTGGTGGAGCTGACTCAATCATTGGCATTTCTGGAGCTCTGTTGATCACAACCTAAACCCAATAAAGCAATGCGTACAACTTTTAACTTATAGCCAACTTGCTGGCTTTGTCACGGGCTACAGTTTTTCCTATCAACCCTGATAACTTTACCTATAGAAGTTTAGTTTAAAACGAACCGGTTGCTTTGTGGTGAACTCGTCACGGGGATCATTTAAAACTGGCACTTTCGGTAATTTTGGGAAAACGTTTGGAATGCCGGAGATTGACGGGCGGCCACTATTGTCCTTATCGAGTTTCTGAAAGGGAAATTGATCAACTTGAAGTTTTTGTTTTAAAATTGAGTCTAGAATTCTCTTACCTGATGTTTCTCATCATGAGAAAAACCGCCGACTTGTTTGTGATTGTTTTGCAGAGAAAACCCTGAGTTGAAACCTGGTGGAAGACTGTTTGATGACTCTAAAAAGTTTGCAAAAGTTTAAAACTATTTAAAACTGTTTAAAACTGTTTAAAACCGTTTAAAATTGTTTAAAACTGTTTAAAACTGTTTAAAACTGTTTAAAACTGTTTAAAATTGTTTAAAACTGTTTAAAACTGTTTAAAACTGTTTAAAATTGTTTAAAACTGTTTAAAACTGTTTAAAACTTATGAATAAGTAAAGCTTTTCAAGTTTTACTGCTTACCTTCAGGAGCCGTGAAGAATTGTTCGAGTGTTCTTTCAAGATTAGAGATTTGTCGTGGAGGAGCACCTGGTTGAGTTGGCTCTGTGTGTTCGCCCACTTCATACGTTTTCTCAGGAAAGAAACCGCCGGGTCTAATATTAAAGAATCATCAAATTTCTATAGTTATTGGTTTAAATCGATTTAAATCACTTTAAATCACTTTAAATCGGTTTAAATCGGTTTAAATCGGTTTAAATCGGTTTAAATCGGTTTAAATCAGTTTAAATCGGTTTAAATCAGTTTAAATCAGTTTAAATCAGTTTAAATCACTTTAAATCAGTTTAAATCGGTTTAAATCGGTTTAAATCGGTTTAAATCGGTTTAAATCGAAAGCAAACAATCAACATCACCAATTCCACTGACCTTGGCCCAAGCAAAGACTCTACAAGTTCCCTGGCATGTCCATCTAGCTCGAAATATTTGCGAAACTCTGGTGGGACAGTTGGTTTTGGAGCAAATCTAAAAATGGAAATGTTCCAAATTGAGTTGAGACAGTTTTTTTTTGAATAGATTGAGTTCAATTGAGGAGTAAAAGAAGGAAAAGAGGTTGAAACTAGGACAAGGTCAACGAGGATGAGGGGGAAATCGATGGAAAAAAAGTTGAGGGGATTATTAAGAACGAATTGACAGAGAGGAATTGCAGGGGATTTTCGGTTTTCGCATAGAAAATGGAAGACTTCTTATTTTAGTTATTTTTAATTGCATCTACATAGTTTTATCTATCAAAAATCTAAATAGAATTATTGGTTCATGAATTGAATCAATGCTTAAAAGGAATTTGATTCAGAATGTTGAAAAACTTATCTTAAACATCTATTGACAGTACTGGATATCAAAAAAATGAGTTAATCTTTCTTTTTGACATCTTTCAACATAATTTCAAGTTTAGTTTTTGCAAAAAATCAATCCGAAAACTAACTAATTGATGAGCTAACTGGTTTACATTGAAATCTATTGGGTTGGTGAATTGAAAACTCACTACCACTCTACCACCCTTGTAAAGGCTCAGCTGGCGGAAGACAGGCTTGTAATGTCACGGTTTTTACGGAAATGTTGGCGGTCCAAAACTTTGAGCGCTTATAACTTTTGACAGAGTGGTCCATAGCAAAAACAGAAAGCAGATTCGGATTCAGCGCGAAATTCTGCGTCGAATTGTCTATGATCATTTGATTTGACCCCATCCAGTTGACCTTTTCAGTTGACTTTTCCAGTTTCAGTTGACTTTCCCATACTCTTGTTAGTTAATTTATCAAGAAATTATTGTAGAATGGTCTGGATTGGTCAAGCAGACAGGTAATCAAAATTAGACTACGTTTTTAGCTAATTTGTTTGCTCAATTGGATCTATTTGGTTTTCAATTGAAAACTGCGGGCTAGTGTCATATGTGACAGTTCTCACACTTTCTTCAAAAGAAACCCATTTTGGTGTCAAGGGAAAAGTTGTAGAGAATCAAAAATCAAGCTTATATCCAAATTTTCAGAACGATTCAAAAACTGGTTTTCAAGAAATGCCAAATTTACGAATTTTCACAAAACTTGCATTTTAAGCGAAACTACTAAGTGTATCTTTTTGGAAATTTGGCTATAAGCCTAATTTTTGATTCTCTACAACTTTTCTATTGACACCAAAATGGGTTTCATTTGAAGAAAGTGCTCAAACTGGGACATCTCCAGTCCTCCATTTTCGAGTCTCACACTTGCCTCACACACAAACCAAACTCCTACTACGAAAGAGGAATCCGCAAATTGCCTGTAAAATGGGCACAAGTCGTGGAAAATAATGGAAATTATTTGGAATGAATTGATGGTTTTATGTTGAATAAATTTTAGTTCAAAGTGCCGCAGTTTTCAATTCACCAACCCAATATTTTTAAATATCAAAATTCTAACTTTTTTTCTAGAATATGAAGATTCTGGATCTTTATTAACTAACTAAATAAATTTCTTTAAATATTTATTAACTAGTTTAAAGCTAACACTCACCTTTCAGCGCTCGGCAGGGCGAAGGGCTCGAACTGAGCCCGAACAACTCCCAGGACCATCACGGTCCCCAATAACAAGTACATAATCTAAAATAGATAGTGGATAATAAAAATGTAAACAAAAACATATCAATTATGACAGATTGATAGTTAACAGATCGATTATGCAAGGATTAATTCAATGTTAAAGCCGAAAAAATCGTCTTCTCAAAGCGGTGAAAGAGAAATCAGATAATCATGAGTGAATCTAGGACATTTGAAAGGAAAAAGGAAAAGAGGAGAAGGTAGAAAGGACAAAAAGAGGAAGTAAAGGAAGAAAGGAGAAGCAACTCTTGAAATCTTTTACCCAAAATCGAAAGAAAAGAGGAGAAATTTGTGTCACTTCGCACCTCCGAGCACGACGACCGAGATTTCGACTCTCTCTTTCTCTCTTTTCTCAAAGATTTGAAAACCTAAATCCAAAATGGATCATAAAATAGATTTGTGAGAGCCGACTTTCACTCTTTATCGGAATTGGGTCGAGAAAAGGGATTTCTTGACATTAAAGGAATATTTAGACGGATTGATTGAGCTCGGGCTCTTAAAAGCAATCAAGCAATCAAGCAATCAAAAGATTACAGAAAGATTAATTCAAAGTGATTACAGGATGTGATAATGCTAAAGAACTCAAAAAACGACTGTTCTTGCAATGAAATCGATCGATCGATCGACTTGCTGCTGTACCAAAGCTGATATACCAATGCTGCTGTACCAAAGCTGATGTACCAATGCTGCTGTACCAATGCTGCTGTACCAATGTTGCTGTACCAATGCTGCTGTACGAATGCTGCTGTACCAATGCTGCTGTACCAAAGCTGATATACCAATGCTGCTGTACCAAAGCTGATATACCAATGCTGATGTACCAATGCTGCTGTACCTTTCAAAAACTAGTTAGGCTTGTTAGCTGTAACTTGACTGTATCCAAGATCTTTTTGATCAAAAGATAAAGTTTTTATGCGCCAGAAAAGGTGTTTTTTCGATTTTGGGCAGTCATTCATAGAATTACAATGAAGATTACAATACTTTGAAGTACAAGTTGAAGTGTATAATCATCTCCTTTTGATTATGCAATAAGTTAAAAACAATAAGTTAAAATGATTCCTATGTTGAAAGAGTTATACCCATTGCTTTTCTAACTTTCTCTCTCTAAAATCGGTCAAATTCGGGGCAAAGAGAGATCCAGCTTTTGGGAAAATGGGAACATTCAATGAATGGAAGTGAGAAACAAATCCGGATACTCTATCTAGTCATTCGTTTCACTTACAATTGGAGAGTTTTGGTGAAAGAATGAAAATTTTCGACAAAATAAACGCAAAACATTGCAAGTTGAAAGCTGAAATTATTCTGTAATCATTGTCGAAAGGTTTTCATTACAAGATTTTGAAGATTTGAGACTTACAAGAACCATTTCATTGCAAGAGCCTTACAAGTTTTGATCTAAACTGTCTTTTATCTTTACTTATGATCATTGTTTGTTTGTTTTTTAGTGAAGCAAGTGACGTCATCTCCACAAGAGAAACTGACAAGTTTTAAAGAGTTTAAAAGACTTTTAAAGACTTTCAGCAGGTGACGTCATCTCCACAAGAGAAACTGATAACTTTGAAAGACTTTAAAAGACTTTTAAAGACTTTAGAAGACTTTTAAAGACTTTAGAAGACTTTAACAGACTTTTAAAGACTTTAAAAGACTTTCAGCAGGTGACGTCATCTCCACAAGAGAAACTGATAACTTTAAGAGACTTTAAAAGACTTTAAAAGACTTTAAAAGACTTTAAAAGACTTTAAAAGACTTTTAAACCATTTTAAACCCTTTTAAACACTTTTTAACCCATTCACGATACAACCAGATTATTTTTAGTGTAAATGAAAGTTTTTTTCAACTTGTGTATGATCTATACATCTTCTTTAAGTAAAGAATTCTTTATTTCAATTGGAATGTTTCGTTTGACCCGAGAAAAATTTGATATTTCATTTGTTAAAGTTATTGCTTGGCCAATTGATCAAGGATTTTCTTTGGGTTCTTGATAAAATCGGCGAATGGAGAATCAGAGATGATCGATTTTTCAGTAGACGATTTCGATTTCTCGTTTTGTTCTTGATTCTTTAGAACTCTGAAAAAAGGTTTTTCTGATGAAAAGAGCTTTGAAAAGAAAAGAACTGTGAAGATACAAACCTCCTAGCGAAAACCTCCTTCTCCGTAGGCCATTCGCAATCTTGTCCCTGATAGATTGGCTTCGGGGAATTCCAGAAAACATTCCCGCCAAAGCCTTTCTTTTTCAAATATGTATTCACCTCTTCATTGTATTTCTAAAAGAGATATTCATTTGAAGTTTTGATTTTTGATAAACTTGATAGAAAGCGACTGGATCACGAGCGAAAACCATTAATGAAAGTCGATTTGCGTCAGAGATCACCAAATATTGAAGTCCTTCTGGAGCCATTGTGGTCAACGTTTCATTGTCGTAGCCAGGTCCCGTATGGATTATGTAGACTAAAGAGTTTAGACTTGTTTAGACTTGTTTAGACTTGTTTATGTCTGTCAGTTAATCCAATTGACTTGTTTATTTCAGTCAGTTAATTCAATTGACTTGTTTATGTCAGTCAGTTAATTCAGTTATGACCAATTGTTGATTGTTTTGGGCTTTTCTATGTTTTGTGTTAAAGAAAAATCTTTTTATAAAAAGCATAGCTAAATAAAACTTCTCTAAAACTTCCTCAAGGCATTAAAGCCTCAAAAAACGCAATCAGCTACCAGACTAGAACCAGGGATGTCTAGCCTTGTGTTCTAACTCACTACCACTCTACCACCCTTGTAAAGGCTCAGCTGGCGGAAGACAGGCTTGTAATGTCGCGGTTTTTACGGAAATGTTGAGCTTTGAGCGCTTATAACTTTTGACAGAGTGCTCCATGGCAAAAACAGAAAGCCGATTCGGATTCAGCGCGAAATTCTGCGTCGAATTGTCTATGATCATTTGATTTGACCACATCCAGTTGACCTTTTCAGTTGACTTTTCCAGTTTCAGCTGCCTTTTCCATTCTCTTGTTAGTTAATTTATCGAGAAATTATTGTAGAATGGTCTGGATTGGTCAAGCAGACAGGTAATCAAAATTAGACTACGTTTTCAGCTAATTTCTTTGCTAAATTGGATCTATTTTGCAAAAATAGATCCAATTTGTTCAGCCCAATCATTGACCGAATCTTTTGATTCCTAAATGCTGATTGAATGAAATTCGAAACTTGATTAAGAGGTTTTTCTAAAGTAGGCCATTTAGAGAACGGATTACGGTATACGATACTACTAAGCTTGACTGGCAAGCAAGTCTACAAGTGAATTCATTTTGAAACTCACATTGTCTCGGGTAGAAGTACTCCTCGGTATACATCCAGTACTGACCAGATCCAACCTAAAACATTTTCAAATGAATGAATGAATTCTTTTCCTTTGTCAAACTTTATTCATATCTCTCTTGTAGGTTTCAATTGGTCCATTCTTTGACACAACTCGATAAGCTTCTTCAATCGAAAAACCATCAGCTCCCATCACCGAGTTTTCTTTAACTAGAAAAGTTTCTTTTACTAGTTTTCTTTTAATACTTGTACTCCTTTTAACAGCTAATAGCGAAGTAGCTTAATTTCTTTAATATTTACTTTAAGGAATACTTGAATACTTACAATAAGCTTTCTTTAACTAGAAAAGTTTCTTTGACTAGTTTTCTTTGACTAAAAAAGTTTCTTTTACTAGTTTTCTTTTAATACTTGTACTCCTTTTAACAGCTAATAGCGAAGTAGCTTAATTTCTTTAATATTTATTCTAAAGAACACTTGAATACTTACAATAAGCTACTTGACAGAACATTTGTGTCCGGAAAACGTCAAAGTTGATTGCCGCTTTGTACATCTAAAATCAAGCTCTAGATTTGCTTTGAAAACCAAATTTTTATGTTCTTGGCCTTATTAAAGTTATAAATATACTATCTAGCGTAGATTTAACTTGGGCTTAAGACAAAAAAACAGTAAATTGCAGCTGATTGTGGAAATAGCTTCATTGATTTCGTCTAAATTGACACCTAATTTTCTAACTAGGAAAGGTACTAGATTCCTGTGTGATTTTGGAACGAAACCTCGCTCATTCAATAGAAAATTCAATGCGGATTCCGAATCTGTAATCAAAATCTGCTGAATAGCTTGCAAACGTAAGATTTCTAACCCGTTTTTTCTTGATCCAAAGATTTTTAAGCGAAAAGTTTTTGCTTTCTTCTACTTGGGTCGAGTTTATGTGCACTTTTTTCTCTAGGCCTTCACCGGCCCTCGTGGTGTAGTGGATAGTGTGATGGTTTCCAAAACGAGCTGGCTTTTTCTCTGGTGGGTTCGAATCCCCGCTTGCTAAACGAGCTTTTCTTTTTGATTTTTCACAATGATATTTGTGATTTTCGCAAAGAGAGCTTGTAGCTTGTATTTTAAGCGCAAAAGCTTGTATTTTAACCACAAAATACACCCACTTGATGCCATTTTCCCATGAGGAGCTTTGCGGGGACATTCACTGTTTCCACCGTGCTTCCTAACATGTTCCCAATTCCGCCAATGATGCCAGTGATCGTTTGGAGATCCATCTAAAACTAAACGATAAGTTTTATCAGTTTGACGAGGTGAATCAAGGATATGAAAGTTGAACTGATTGTCAATAGGTGCACAACGAAAAAACGAGACTTCACCAGCTACTTTTTCAGAATTTCTTGCTGAAAGTAGAGTCTCTCAAGCTCTATCTTTTGATCTAAAAAAATCCTTGAAAAAAGTAAGCTAAAGTGGTCAAATCCCAGTTTTTCCGTTTTACACCTATTGACAATCGGATCGACAATTAAACATCATGCAAATCATGCTGAAATCAAAATTCTAAACCCACCGCATTCTCGCCAATCGCTGCCACCGATTGCACGGCCAATACTGCCAAGAATAGCTTCATTTCAGTGAAAAATTCGAAATATTACAAATAAGGTCAAAGTTTAGACAATATTTAAGGTTATAGAAAGATTTTAGAGAACTCTTTTCGTTTGTTCCGGAATTTCCCCCCAGTTGAATCGCTCTCTCAATCTCTCTTTTCCCCTTTTGTGAGATCACTTTCGATTTCTCTCCCTTTCAATGCATAGATTCAACTTCGGATTTGGGTCATCGACAAGCGAAAATTAGGCATTTAAACCAAATTGATCACTGTGACGATTTTCAGGGAAAAGATCCGATCTCACAAATTAGAGCTTTGAGAATCGGGTCAAATTTGAAACGAAGTTGCTGTGCAAAAGGCAGAAAGTAGTTGCAAGAAAAGTAAATCTAGATATATTGATGGATTCTGTTTAAGCAAATGTCAAATAGACTTGTATTTGACATTCTTTTTGCAAGAAACACACCTCCTCTGGCGTACTTAATCAGTATTTTCATCAAAGAAATGAATCGGTACACCAGAATGCTTCTAATTTTGAGGTAAAATGCAGAATAAACCAGAATAGACTATGATTACTTTAACCATAGCTTTGGCAGAGCATATTTCATTTGTTAAGCTAGAGCTAGAGCTCTAGATAAGAGCTAGAGCTTAACAAATGAGCTAGAGCTTAACAAATAGGCTTAACAAACGAGCTAGAGCTTAACAAATGAGCTAGAGCTTTACAAACGAGCTAGAGCTAAACAAATAAGCTTAGCAAATAAACTAAAGCTTAACAAATAGGCTTCACAAATAAGCTAGAGCTTAACAAATAAGCTAGGGTTTCAATTGTACAATGTAAAATTTCAATTTAAGCAATTGATTATGAAATAAGCATGACTCTTGTGTAACTTCACATTACTTACCGCAAATACTGTAATAGTACCCCACCCTCATAATGACGGTGCGGAGCGTTGTGTAGTCTAGCTTTGAACGAGTTTTTCTCGACACTGGTTTATGCTACGATGCGCACTTAGATATCAAAAAATAGCCCTGAATTTTAGCTATTTTTTGATATCTAAATGTGCATTGTAGCATAAAGCAGCGCGGAGAACGGGATGTTTAAAGTTAGACTACGCAACAATCCCGAAAAAACGCGTTTTTCTCGAGACTGGTTTATGATACAATGCGCGCTTACGTATCAAAAAATAGCTGAAATTCAGGGCTATTTTTTGATACCTAAGCGCGCATTGTAGAATAAACCAGTGCCGAGAAACACTCGTTCAAAGCTAATGACGATGCGGAGCGTTGTGTAGTCTAGCTTTGGACGAGTTTTTCTCGACACTGGTTTATGATACAATGGGCGCTTCGGTATCAAAAAATAGCTGAAATTCAGGGCTATCTTTTCATACCAAAGACACATTTTTTGAAAGTACGGGTGCTTTGCAAAAAATGAAATACTAAAAAACTTTTGCGACTACCCGACTGTACGAGGGAGGTGAGGTACTATTACAGTATTTACGGTAAAAGTAGTTCATTAAACGCTTAAATACGTTTCCTTATCAACATCGAATCTTACAATACCATTGTTGTATGTTTTCCCCTTAAACTCTGAACAACTTTAAACAACTTCAACCGTTTAATATTAATTTTTATTTCAATATGGATCAAGTACACGAAAAATCAAGACACGTATCACAGGGAAGAAGCCAAAAAAAAAGGATAGAATTGGCCATGAATGAAAAGGTTTACATAGTGGGCGATCAGTGGATACTGACAAAATGAATTGTTTAAATTAAAGAAGCAAAAGGAATGAGGTACGAGATCGGGAAAGGAATCAAGAATTCATTTTGGTGATCATCTATTTTCCGAACACCTCAAAAGTCGAGTCAGCGTATTGGCAAGCGGTGTAGGAAGCCGGTTGTAACATGTTGAAAGCACGCACGAAACCGTTGATGAAACCCTGGAAAGGATTTCGAAGGTTTTTAGGGATTTTATGAATTTAGATATAATTTAGATATAATTTGTAGATGTATAACCATTTTAAACAATCTTCTAGTCCAATTTACATTCAAATATCAAGCTACCAAGCTACCCGGCCTAAATCTATCTGCTTAAATCATCTCTGAGTTTCCTATCATCGTCTGAGTTTCCTATCTTAAAGCTAGTTGTAGCTACAGTAATCTTTAAAGGAGAAACTGTTTGGGTTACTGTAAATGACTGTAACTAACTGTGAATACTGTAACTGTAAATGTAACTATAAGTTACGAGTTACGGTAGCTAGATCAAGTTAATAGAAGTTGACAACTTTGACTAGATATCTAGCAGGAAAAAAACTATCTAATTTAGCTATATACAAAACTTTTTATGCTCTTTTTATCTATTGACATAAAGATAGATTTCCTTAGCTAAAGTGTCTAAATATAAAGTGATAAGCTCAAGTGCCTTGGCTAAAGATGGGGATGCTTAACCGAGATGAGTCTCTGTGGATCTATAACCAACAACTACCTACCATACGATGCCTTTTCTACTAAAGTACTTTGTATAAATCCAACTATTGTGTGTTGTGTTGGCTAAAGTGCCTTGGCTAAAATGTCATCAAGCCGTCGCTCTTTTTGACTACTCGTCTTCAGGCTCTCAAAAAAAACCCAGACATAAGACATTTTAAACCCGTTTTAATCTTATTTTACAGAAAAATAATTACCCTTTCTAATGAAATAAACCGTATTTCAATTGGGGCATTTATTGGTTTTAAACGGAAGTACGAAAAGATTGGACAGCCACTTCTGGACAGCCACTTCTGGACAGCCACTTCTGGACAGCCACTTCTGGACAGCCACTTCTGGACAGCCACTTCTGGACAGCCACTTCTGGACAGCCACTTCTGGACAGCCACTTCTGGACAGCCACTTCTGGACAGCCACTTCTGGACAGCCACTTCTGGACAGCCACTTCTGGACAGCCACTTCTGGACAGCCACTTCTGGACAGCCACTTCTGGACAGCCACTTCTGGACAGCCACTTCTGGACAGCCACTTCTGGACAGCCACTTCTGGACAGCCACTTCTGGACAGCCACTTCTGGACAGCCACTTCTGGACAGCCACTTCTGGACAGCCACTTCTGGACAGCCACTTCTGGACAGCCACTTCTGGACAGCCACTCCGATACTCTATCATTTCTCACCTGATCCTCCAACCAACGAAGCACTTCTTGTTCGTATTTCTTCTTGAATGTATCCGGATCTCTCACCAGCACCGTCACTGGATATTTCACCCAATTTGACACGATCGCGTACTCGTATTGTGGATTTCCAAATGGATCTTTACCCTCAGGTCCAAGTCGATAGATCCAGACTGAAAGATTCATTGGAAAGATGACAGGATTAAGCTTTTGTCATTGTTGTTTAGTTGTAAAGATTTGTAAAGACAACTGATTGTAACCTTTTTATAAACTTACACGGTTGCGCGTCTTGCGTTTCAGAGGAATGAAGTTGCAACATAGCGTCCTTGTTCCCAGCTCGGAAAGCGTAACCAATCGAGTATCTAAAATCAAAATTCCTCATAGATTAACAAGAACTTCATCAATCAAAACCTCTAGATTAACCTCGACCTCTAGATTAACCTCTAGATTAACCTCTAGATTAACCTCTAGACTAGCCTCAACCTCTAGATTAACCTCTAGATTAACCTCAACCTCTAGATTAACCTCTAGATTAACCTCAACCTCTAGATTAACCTCTAGATTAACCTCAACACTTTAATTACTACTTATAAAAATGCTAAAAACGTTACTTCAGTTGTAGAAAAATCCTTTAAAAAGATATTACCTAACAGGTCCAAACTCTGATCCCTCTCGGTAGATCTTCAAGGCGGTGAAAGTGGCTGTTTTCTCGTTTTTCGTCAATCCACCATCTAAAATTGATGGTAAAATATTGATCTGATGGTTTGTTGATCGAATTTAAAAGTTGAATCTTGTTCTGTTTCATTACATTACACTTACAATGATGCACAACACAACGTTGCTCGGTGGCTCGTGGAGAGTTGACTCCTTCAAACCAGCGTCCCATGAATTTCGAGAGGTCAAAGTGCTCGGGAGTGGCTGGCAACAAAGCATCAGTCACGTTATCAGCCAAAGTCTGTAAAACAGATTTTTACTTACTCCATCGTTTTCCACAGGGTCACTCAATAGTTCTCACAACTTTTTATAAAAGCAGCTGTCTAATTTATTTCAAAAGTGGTAAGTATTATGAGATTTGAAGCCCGGAATCTTGGCTACATTTAAATACCATTTACATATCATTTTTATAAAGAAAATTGTCAAAAATGATAGCGTACAGGAAAGAGAACGAGTAGTGCTCACTCAAAAGCTTGCCAAATAAGTTATATGACGCCAATTCGAAAGCTTTTGATATGTAAATGTAGCTGAGATTCCAGGCTTCAATCTCTGCTTGCTGGTAGACAGCTGCTTGCTGGTAGACATTTCTCTAGTAAATTTTTCCTCTAGGCTTCTCCTCCGGTCGCCGGCTCTGGTCGCCGGCCTTCGTGGGCCCTTGTACCCGGTCTCGGTTAGCCGGCCGCTGTGACGTGGGAAACGATTCGGGAACCGCCCAGAAAAAGAAGCGCGGAACAGGAAACGGGGAAGAGAAAGGGGAAAGAGAAAAATTAAAAACTGAGAAAGTATGGGGGGGAAAACAAGAAAAGGCGTGTGGAAAGTGGAAAAACGGGGAAAATTGAAATAAAAAAAAAAAAAAAACACCACTTTTTTCCAATTTAAATAAATTAATGAATTTTTTGTAAACCGATTTTGGAAGCGTCTCTTCAAACTCAAAAGTTTCTACAAATATTGAACACTCTGTAGAGTTTGGAAGGCTCAGGACAAAGACAAGCATTCAATTTTCCAATCAATCAAATACTGGATTGATAGTGAGTTTAGTAAGTCTAATATAACTCCCCAAAATCTCATACTTACTTGCAATTGCTCTGGTGGAAGCACATCGGCCAACGTGGTTCCGTTTGAGATTCGTCGGGTCACTTGACCGATCAGACTCACCTAGGAACGAGGCTATGATAAAGTCCTTGCTAAGCTATCATTCCTCTTATATATTACACTTACAACGTCGATTTGTCCTTGATTATTTCTTGGAATTCCTCCAGGCAAGAGTGGAATCCCGGGGATTCGGGGAAGTCCCGCGTTTTTGGGTCCATTTCCACCTCCACCCAACACAGCGGCGATTCCAGAGAGAGCTCGCTGAGCAGTGGATGGTTGACGACGGATGTTGGATGATGCCGAGATGACATCAGCTCGTGGAACCGATGAAGAGGCTTGAGATCCGGATCCGCTTTCAACTGGTGTATGAGTTTTCACTCCGGCGGCGGCTACCTAAAAGAATGCATTAAAGAATTAAGACAAAGATAAGGGCTCTTGTAAAGCTCTCTACAGCTCTTGAAAAGACAGCTCTTGAATGAGTAGTCAAGCTTTAAGAGTCCATAACTTTCTTTAGAAATAATATCATTCTTAATGTTATCTATTGTTTTAAAGAGGAGACGTCAGGCTTGTGAATGATAGAAAATAGAGTTTATTTCTTAAATCCTACCCGATCTCTGTGCACAGTTTCCCCAGCATCATCAGTGCTCTGCTCCGTCTTTCCCGATCCCAAAACCGTTGGCAACGATTGTGACAAAGCGTCGGCGACACCGGTTTCCTAAATTTTCTTTATAACCTATTCTTCTCTCGATTCCAACCTTGATGAGTTTTCTGACAGATGTCGACAGAAGACCGATCAATCCATTCTCTCCGGGATGCTCGGAGGGCAATGGGACGCCACCAGATGGATGGTACTCTCCCGGGTTCATCGCATCGTTCATCACCTGGGTGATCTGATTGGCAAAGCTGGGGTTGGCCTGAGCGAGCACATCTGTAAGGAATGGAGTGCTTAACTGGTGAGATTGTATGAAAACAGCCGTCATGGATGTCATGGCGACTAGCTAAGAGCCACAGATCTTAATCGAGAGGTCAATGTGTTCAATCCCATCGGCTAGATTATTGGTTTTTTTTCTTCTCTATTTATTGCATTTATTTCTCTAACTTTTTGCGATTATATTTCAATAATTTATTCTTTTTAGGAATGGATGAATCGACGAGAGAGCCCTTGATGGATGAAGAATTTCGAGCTCAACAGGAAAACGATGAAGAAGAAATTCTTCAAGAACAGGGATGATGAACAACCTAAACGAGTTTACGAGACGCGAAAAAGGACTCAACGAAGGAAAATGAGGATAGTGTTGAGTCACGTTCGTCAATCATTTATTGGAAAAACAAGGAGGAAAGCTCGGTGATTCTCTCGGTGATCAAGAGAAAACGACTTGATGAAGGTGGCAGACATCTTTTGTGGGCAGAAGTTGATCAGTTCGACCTCAACGGGAAAACGATGAACGAGAAGAATTCTTCAAGAACAGGGATGATGAACAACCTGAGGGTTTACGAGAAGCGAAAAAGGATTCAACGAAGGATAGTGTTGAGTCACGTTCGTCAATCATTTATTGGAAAAAACAAGAAGGAAAGCTCGGTGATCAAGAGAAAACGACTTGATGAAGGTGGCAGACATCTTTTGGAAGCAGAAGTTGATCAGTTCGATCTCAACGCTACGATAAGAAGCGAATCACTCGAAGGATTGTTCTGGAGGCAGCAATGGAATTCACAAGAGCAGGGGTTAATTTCAAATAAAAGCCTGATGGTTAGAAAGTTTCTTTCGACGGCATAAACTCTTTGCGTGTACGTTATGGACTAAAGTATAACGCTAAAGTATAGTACAGCATTTACATTTTCAGTAAATTTATTTTTAAAACCTACCAGCTGTTGGTTGAGTGGCAGTTGGTTGTCCGACAAGGTGTTCAGCGGGAAGTCCTTGCACAGGGATTCCGGCAGCTCGAAGCTCTTGCATGGCGCCCGCAAATCCGTTAGGATGTTTTCCAGTCAATCCGGGAATTCCAAACGAGTCGAGGCCGAAGAATTTGATCAGCTAAAGGACAAGCTATCAGCTAAAGTGTTTCAGCTAGAATTTCAGCTAGAGCTAGAAATTGTCAGTGTCAAATCACTTGCATCATACTCAGCCTACTATTCAACGCAAGGCACCATTCCTGCTTCTTTCTGCTTCTTCTTACTTCTTCTTACAAATTCCTGCTTCTTAAATCTTACCTGATTTTGAACATCTGTTGGAATGGTGACTGGTGGCGGTGGTGGAAGAGATCCATCTCTGGCGGCGAATTGCTGGATTCCTGGTGGAGAGGCGGTTTGCACAGGTTGCATGGCAGCTGGCACTGGCGCCTAAAGAGATTCTGATCTTCAGATAAATAGATAGATAAAGGTTTTCTCATCTTCAGATAAATACAGTACTGGAAAATGAAATATGATATTTGAAAAGCGATGATCACTTGAAAAACGATCGTCACTTTCGCGCGTCTGTAACTCCCTTGTCTTTGAGTTGAAACTATTAGTGTTATACATTTTCTGAAAGCTCTTTTCAAGGGCTACACAATGGTAATATTAATATTTAGAAATACGGTAAAGACAAGGGAGTTACAGACGCGCGAAAGTGACGATCTTTGTTTCAAATATCATATTTCGTTGTCCAGTAGTGTAGATTCCTCCAAGTTCCCCATTTGTTATGTAGGTATTTGATAGTTTCCAACGTTAAATCACCTCTTAACCCTCCGATACAACTTTGTAACGCTAAAGTTCTGTAGCTAGATTCTCTAGTTCTGTAGCTACAGTACTGGACAATGAAATATGATATTTGAAAAACGATGATCACTTGAAAAACGATCGTCACTTTCGCGCGTCTGTAACTCCCTTGTCTTTGAGTTTAAACTATTAATGTTCTACATTTTCTGAAAGCTCTTTTCAAGGGCTACACAATGGTAATATTAATATTTAGAAATACGGTAAAGACAAGGGAGTTACAGGCGCGCGAAAGTGACGGTCGTTTTTCAATTTCATTGTCCAGTAGTATAGATATGTTTCAAAATTGCCTATTTTACCTACAAAAAGCCTAAAGTACTCATTAGTTCTTTAAAGTTAACTCATTAGTTCCATTATCAACTCATTAGTTCTCATTAGTTCTTTAAAGTTAACTCATCAGTTCCATTATCAAGCTCAATTGTCACCGGGTCTAAAGCATTCATTTTAATATCAAAACTATCAGCAATATCAGCACAATATCATGCAAATTCTATTTGTTTTACGTATAGAACAAACTTGAGTGCCCATTGGTGCTTGGGGAACAGAGATTGGCTGTTGTGGGATCATTGGTGGGAGTTGTGGCGCACTCTGCTCTTCGGAAGCTGTCTGAACGGCACGTGGTGGAGCGATCTGGAAAGTGTTTAGAATTTAAACTAATAATCAACACTCACATCTTCTAAGAACTTTGGCTTTTGAGCTTGGGGTTCCAATCTGATGACGATTGGCTGATTTGGGTCCTCAGCGGCAAGCGATAGGCCCCACAGGGTCATGAAAGCCCCCAATACCCACCTCATCCTGAATTTTGGTATTAGATTAGTATAAGATTGTAAAAATTTAAGAAATAAATTCAGAACAATAAAAAAATAGAATGTTTTCGTAGTTATTAGAACTTCAAACGGACTTCAGCTGTCTTTAGAACTGTCTAACATCGAGATAAGCTTAAAAAGGCTTTAAGAAACCAAGTCTTATGCAAAATCTTTCTAGAATTCTTCCTTAACACTTGCTTGATACTTGGAAAAAGTTTAAAATTGCTGTATTAAGTGAAAAGGAAAGGTGAGACTTTGGAAGGAGTGATTGAGAGGTGAAAGAAGGGGAAAAGATACAGAGGAGGTCAAGGCTTTCAACCACAAAAGGCTTTGAACCTTTCACATTTTATCCCCCCGATTTCAAGAGAGGAAAGCTTTCCCTCTTTTTGACCTATATTGAGACGGACATTCATAGCCATTCTCAGAGAAAGCTATGAATGTCGAGGGAAGAGCGCGGACTGGTCAGCCTTCGACTCTCTCTCCTTTGTTGCTAAATAGAGGGACTGACTGGTTATTGTGGAAAAAAAAATGAGTGTTCCTGTAAACATATGAAAATTTACCTCAATATCCTCAATATCTTGTCCTTCAAAAGTGAAAAAAGCTAAACAATGAAGCTCTGAGGTCACAGGAATCACTGATAATAATTTGTACTTGTATTGGGTTGATGGAAAAGTCCTTTCCGATTTTTTGGGAGAGTACCTTAAATTTGTTCAATTTAGACGTTTTATAGCTCATCCTAAAGCTGAATTCAAGACCCATCGATTGGTAAAAACCGTTTTGAGATATCTCTTTTCTAAAAGTTTTTACAGTTATTTTAGTAAAGGACGGCAGAGCCAAAAAATGGCTGTTTTCACGTTTCGTTAGTTTTTCGTGCAGAAACCTAGGCTAAAAACATGTGTTTCGTGATCAGCGTCAAAAATAACCCCTAGACACGCATTTTCAGAAACTTAGCAAAAGATTTTTGAAAAATATTGTCACCGGTGGAAGTCGAACCAGCGACCCTCAGATCAATAGCCTTTCCGCCGCTTTTCGCGATTTTCCTTCGTTTTTCTCGTTTTTTTGTTTTATCATTTTTTTGATGTTGCTTTTAGGATGCAACTTTTAAAAAAGAGATATCTCAAAACGGTTTTTACCAATCGATCCGTCTTGAATTCAGCTTTAGGATGAGCTATAAAACGTCTAAATTGAACAAATTTAAGGTACTCTCCCAAAAAATCGGAAAGGACTTTTCCATCAACCCAATACTTATTGCTTGTTAAGAAAATAAACAAGTATTGGAACGGTTTGATGATCATTACACAATACTTAATAATCATTTCTAGATGTTAAAATCGATTAGAGCAAGTCCAGGCAGAAAGTTTTATTGGTTTCCTCATCAAAAACTCAATTTTCATTCAATTTTGAGTTTTAGCTTTATTCCAAAACTAATTATTAGCTTATTAAGATCAACTTTCAACTCAAATATCAGATTTTCTAAAATATTTAAGAAAATAGAATACATTCTACTTTCTAAAGCTAAAGAAAGACAAGCTTTCGCACTTCCCGCATTCGCACTCTCACTTTCAGCTCATTTCGCTGATCTCTGATGAAAGAAAGAAAAGATTTGACCTAGAATTGACTGTCAATCCTAGAAAAACTTGAAATAGATCTCCGTTTTCTTTTTGATCTAATTAAGCTAACAGAACGATAGGGATTTCCAGGACAAAGGTTTCTTTCTTTTCTATTTTCTAAGAAAAAGATTTTCTAAAAAATGTGTATGAGCCAAGGTAGCCTTGTCTAAACAAATTCAAGCCTTTTTTTAAAGTTCTACATGAGTGATTTCAATGAGCTGTTTATTGGAATGGACGATCGCTCTCATTTTGGAGTTTTTTTTGAGCCAATTAGAGCTGTTTCAAAAATTCTGACGGTTTGGACCAGGCTAGCTAGGATTTCGGTGTCCTTGGAAGAATCGAATGCTTACAGGATCACAGGATTAAGCTTACAGGATTGGGCTTACAGGATTGGGCTTACAGGATTAGGCTTACAGGATTAGGCTTACAGGATTAAGCTTACAGAATTCGGCTTACAGAATTCGGCTTACAGGATTAAGCTTACAGGATTAAACCTACAGGATTAGATCTGGGTCTAGTTCTGCCCTAAATCCATCCGGACCAGACTTGGTTCTGGTTTCTGGTATGGCTATCTTGCTGCACTGGCTCGCAAAATTTGCCTAAAGATTAGGCGTCTCTCTAGCTTCTTTCTTAGCGTCTCCCTAGCTCTAGCTTTATCAAAATACCTGAACCTGGAATCTGTCTTAACTTGACCTGACTCACAAAACCGTACCTAAGCTAGCGATCAGGTTGGCCGGCTTAGGCTTAGTGCGAAGGCTTGTCTTCGCTAATTGATTGGACACAAGCGTCCAATCAATTTACATCCAGAGAAGAAAATCTAGCAAAATCTACGGGCTACATCATGGCTCTAATGAAATTTTTCTAAAATCTACATCTTTGTAAGGGTTGAGGTTTTGGAGGAAAAGAGATTTTAGACCCTTAGCCATTATCCAGGAAACTTCTAACCACCGCCAATCGATTCTCTGTGACGTTTTACATCGAACACGTGACTAAAAATTTGATTTAAAGCTTTTTCGAGCGAGCTAGAGGGACTCAAAGTTGGGCAGAAACGCAAAAAAAAAAGTCGTGACAACCGAAACCGAAGTTGGGCCTGGTTTAGACTGTCATCCATCGTTGCCCACTGATGTTTTTCACTGGTGGACCGGCAAAACCCCATCTAGTCTGACTTTATCCAATGTACCAGATCCCGCGCGTTTACGCTAGATTTTCAACAATTTAACTTGTACAAAGGTACAATTTCTAACCAACTTTTCACTCATTCAAAGTTAAAAAAACCTTTCTTGATTGAGCATCTTTCTTGAGTAAGACTTCAAGCATTAAACTTACTAGATTCCTTGCCCATAGCTTACCCATAGCTTACCCATAGCTTACCCATCGCTTACCCATAGCTTACCCATCGCTTACCCATAGCTTACCCATAGCTTACCCATAGCTTACCCATTAATAACTCAGATTTGTCTCAAGAAAGTAAGAAAGAAAGTATTCAACCACTTTAACCAAGTGATTAGCAGTCTTGGCTAACATTTCAGAGAGAAAGAGTTCGATCGTGGTTACGGAAAATGAGATTTTACGTAGAAATCGATAATCGCAGGCTTACTATGGGATTTGTTTCGAAATTTTTCCCTGAATGAGTCAATCATTTAGCAAAAAGCTATAAAGGGGGTCTTTTCAACAAATCGTTTCCCTCAAATCTCTTTTTCATTGAGTCGATCGGTCCTATATTTGCTTGAGAGAAGAGATTGCCGATGAAAGACGAAGAGAATGGCAGAAAAGAGAAAGGAATTTGAGAGAAAGCCGAGAAAAGGAGAAAGGAAAGGGATTTGTGGTTGGACCAGTCCTTTGTCCCAGTCTTCCCAGTCTTCCCAGTCTCCCCCCGCTTTTCTCTCTTCATCCACGAACCTTTTCATTTGAAAGAACCAGGTCCAACATCAAATTGACTTCAATTTTATCTATATTTTTGATTGTAAAGTTGAACTAGTTGATCTGTTTGTGGTGTATTTGTGAACAAGCCATTTTTCATCTTAAGATCATTCATTTCTACTTTCAGCTCATTTTACTTTCATTTAAATTGGATTGGTGAATTGAAAACTGCGGGCTATTGTCATATGTGAGAGTTTGAGCACTTTCTTCAAAAGAAACCCATTCTGGTGTCAATGGAAAAGTTGTAGAGAATCAAAAATCAAGCTTATATCCAAATTTCCAAAAAGATACACTTAGTAGTTTGGCTTAAAATTTGTATCTTCTGTGTGCTCTCTGTGCGGCGGCGTAATCGCTCGTCGTCTGGCGTAGAACTTTTACATAACCCCTTTCCCTCCCTCCCTCTCCAAGCTCTTGTGACCGTTTCCGAATCTTCAAATTGGACAGTGACTTCTCCGCAAATCAAGGCTAATGTCAATCTATTGGGTTGGTGAATTGAAAACTGCGGGCTATTGTCATACGTCGCAGTTTGAGCACTTTCTTCAAAAGAAACCCATCTTGGTGTCAATGGAAAAGTTGTAGAGAATCAAAAATCAAGCTTATATCCAAATTTTCAGAACGATTCAAAAACTGGCTTTCAAGAAATGCGAAATTTACGAATTTTCACCAAACTTGAATTTTAAGCGAAACTACTAAGTGTATCTTTTTGGAAATTTGGCTATAAGCCTAATTTTTGATTCTCTACAACTTTTCTATTGACACGAAAATGGGTTTCTTTTGAAGAAAGTGCTCAAACTCGGACATCTCCAGTCCTCGATTTTTGAGTCTCACACTTGTCTCACACACAAACCAAAATCCTACTTCGAAAGAGGAATCCGCAAATTGCCTGTAAAATGGGCAGAAGTCGTCAATAAAAATGGAAATTATTTAGAATGAATTGATGGTTTTATGTTGAATAAATTTTAGTTCAAAGTCCGGCAGTTTTCAATTCACCAACCCAATAGCTTGTTTTTTCGTTCTCCAATGACTCAAAAGCTGTTTTACTTAAGCTTTTTAGAAATTTGTTTAATTTAGAATTTGTAAAAGTTGTTTAACACAAAATAAACTGCATTTTAAGTGACTCAAAAATGATGAATCAATCCAACAATCCAGTCGATCAGCTCCTAGCTTTATCTATCTTTATCCACGAAAATTTTAGAGTTAGAAAAGATTCTGAATGAATGACTGAAAATGATGAATTCAATTGTCAGCTAGCTTTTGTGTTTTACGATCAACTTCACTATTATCCAATCAATTATCCAATTCACTATAAAATCAATCAATCATTCCTAACACACATCACCTTACACACATCACCTTAGTGAGTATAGCAAAGTTTTATGCAGACGATCGTTTTCGTATACTTGTAGTGAATTTCAGTGAACAATAGGGATTTTCCTAAAAGCCAAGAGGCCAAGGGCAACTCAGGGGCAATTAGGCTAAAGCCAAGGCTGAGCCAAACCCAAGCAAAGTCGGCCCAAGCGAAAAATTGTTTCAGATCATCTTTTACTTTGAATTTTGCACAAAAATCAAGAATTCTTTCTCTAGAATGGTTTGGAAATGTTCTGTAATTAAAAACATTATAAAAACCTTTGAAATTCCTCCTTCAAAAGGTTTTTGAACATAAATTTTCATTGGTTTAGTTTGGCTTGAGAAATCGAATTGGGAAATTGAAATAGGATTTAGTGAACAGTAAAGATTAGATCATTATCGATTAGATTATCTGATTAGATTGGTCTTTAAACTTTAAACTTGATCTTTAGATGCATTTTTTGCCTTAAAAGCAATCCCTTAGCAATCCCTTAGCAATCCCTTAACAATCCCTTAGCAATCCCTTAGCAATCCCTTATCAATCCCTTAGCAATCCCTTAACAATCCCTTAGCAATCCCTTAGCAATCCCTTATCAATCCCTTAGCAATCCCTTAACAATCCCTTAGCAATCCCTTAGCAATCCCTTAACAATCCCTTATCAATCCCTTAGCAATCCCTTAGCAATCCCTTAACAATCCCTTCAACACTTTTCACCCAAAAATTTGTGTGGTTGTCAAATCCGACAGTACCATCAAGGAGAATGTTCAAGGATTGGTAAACATTGAAAAAAAAGGCAAGAATAGGGATTATCTGCTGATTGACTGGTAGAGATCAAGAGAATCAAGAGATCAAGAGAAAAGAAAGAACATGAAGAGAAGAGGATCTTCTGAAGAAGACCGGAATCTTTCGTGTACCCCATCATCATAAGTGTACACATTCAAGTGGGCAAAGGGGTAACGCTTGGGACTTGTAGACAAGTTGGCAAGAATGCTTGTTCTGAATATTCTTTTTATTCTTTCTTTCCGCTTAAGTTCAGTGAAATCTTGCTTTACGTAATCATTTGAAATTTCTTTTACTTTGGAAATGTACTTTTTAATCTATTGATATCTATTGATAAAAAGATGTTCTTGTTTTTGAGTAATTGACGATTTCTTTGATGGTTAATTGATGGTTAATTGATGGCTAATTGATGACAAAAGATAGATCCGATTTGAGGTTGCCATTTAGTCTGATTTGGTTCCTATTCGGTTCCTATTCGGCTCCTATTCAGTTTCTATTCGGTTCCATAGCTAGAACCAGTAACCAGTAAAAGTGACCGGTTCAATAGACATAATTCAAAAAGTAGAACCTTTCATTATTATAAATTGATGGCTATGACAAACGATAGATCCGATTTGAGGTTGTCATTTGGTCTGATTTGGTTCCTATTCCGTTCCTATTCAGTTCCATAGCTAGAACCAGTAACCAGTAAAAGTAACCGGTTCGATAGACATGATTCAACGAGTAGAACCTTTCATTAACATAAACTAAAACACTCAAACATTGAACTCTTTATATAAATTGTGCTTATAAATGATTTCTTTTGATCCATGGCCTCTTGACTCTTAGGAAAATCCCTATTGTTCCCTGAAGTTCACTACATATTTATAAACTTACAAGAGATCTTTGCTTGATCCAATTATCAAGAATTGCTCTTTCTTGTTCTTTTCAGAAGTTTAAAAAGCTTTATAAGAGATTGATTGAGTCAGGAATAGAACTTAATTGTTCTAAAGGTTCTTTTTTCAGAAAAAAAGCTGATTTTTCATCTTTTTCATCACTTTTCATCAACCAATTTTCCATCATTTTTCAATCATTATTTCTAATCGTTGGTTAATGCTAGAATTATGTATTATATCTCAAAACATTACCCATTTTCTCTACTTTAATTTGATACCTAAACGAGTAGAAACAAACGTACTAGTGTCAAGATATGAGAGTTTGTTTGAAAGTAAACTTATGACGAGTTTTATTAGAGTTTTTCAGATTTCAGCATTCAGATTTTGTTCAACGATTATTCAAGTACGATTTTCTGGAATACTGTAAACTTTTACTGTTACAAAGTCTTCAGAAAGACAACCTTTCAGTACTAAAATTATGATCGTGACCTAACTCTTGAGTTGATTCAATAGCGTTGCGGAGAATAACCGGTCGTCGGTCCTTTTAGCTCTCTATTCCATCACAAGGGCACACATTGCAATGGAAAGGATTGCTCTGACAAGAACTGAAGACTCACTGAGACCCCATCGTCTTCTTTTTCTTCTTTTTCTTCTTTTTCTTCTTTTTCTTTTCCCCTTCCAATCTCACGTCATCATTGTCGTCCTTTTGCTTTTCTTTGTATAAGACAGAAGATTGAATTACAGTGGTTTTGACCTGTCATTGTTCTACTTTAGAATTCAAATGCCCATTAATATCCAAACAGGCTTAGGCCTTCTAGATCTAGATCTAGACCTAAGGCCTTCTAGATCTAGATCTAAGGCCTTCTAGATCTAGACCCAAGGCCTTCTAGATCTAGATCCAAGGCCTTCTAGATCTAGATCCAAGGCCTTCTAGATCTAGATCTAAGGCCTTCTACATCTAGATCCAAGGCCTTCTAGATCTAGATCCAAGGCCTTCTAGATCTAGATCCAAGGCCTTCTAGATCTAGATCTAAGGCCTTTTACATCTAGATCCAAGGCCTTCTAGATCTAGACCCAAGGATTTCTAGATCTAGATCCAAGGCCTTCTAGATCTAGATCCAAGACCTTCTAGATCCAAGCCAGATCAGCTTAATACAGTAAGTCTGTAGTAAGCCAAAGCTTGATCTAACTTCTGGCAAGTTCAAAGACTTTTACAACCAAAACCAGGCCAAGACAGGCTAGTTCAGAAGCAATTTGTAAGCCCAGGCTTGATTTCTGCCAGACTTTTGCCAGATTTCTGCCAGATTTTCTGCCAGACTTTTGATCCAAGCCAGATCAGCTTAATACAAGTCTGTAGTAAGCCAGTTCTGGGTAAAACTAGAACAAGTCAAAGCAAGTCAGGCAAGGCAAGGTTAACTTCTTTGACTTCTTTTGGTCTTGGAAAATTGTATTTGAATACCCGATCAGGCTTTTTAGCGGAAAATTTCCCCGATTTTTTTTTGCGGGAAGCAGAAATGCTGAAAAAAGTTCTAAAACGCTAAAAAACGCGGTTTTTCGCTGACTAGACTGGAAAATGATTGCAAAGAGAATAGCTTTCTCAAAAAATTGACTCATTTTGCATTCATTGTTTATTCTAGAAAAAAACTTGAAAGAATTTATCTGAGAAAATAGATCTTTTCCTCAAATTTTCTAAGTTTTCTCTATTTTTTCGAGTAAATATTGGCCGATTGGCACCCAGCACTCGAATCGACTCTCAGCTGTGTTCAAGAGTTGATCTCGGGGAATTCATTGCTAAAATTGCTCTTGATTTCTGAAAACTTTTTTGATTTCTCGTTCTTCTTGATTACTTCAATGTCTGGTTGGTTTCTTTTCGAATTCTCTGTTTTATAGAGTTGTATGGCAGCTGAACCGGCGGCCCCGTGGTCGCGATGGGATGCTTATGGTAGAAGAAGAGAAAAATATTCAAAAAAATAGATCTAATTGATAGATTAAACTTTAATTCAAGTAAAATCGATCCGATTTGAGGTTACCATTTGGTCTGATTCGGCTCCTATTTGGTTCCTATTTGGTTCCTATTCGGTTCCCATTTGATCCCCATACGATCCCATTTAGATCCAATTTAAATCTAGATTCGATTTGAGGTTCCCATTTGGTTCCTATTCGGTTCCTATTCGGCTCTCATTTGGCTCCGATTCAATGCTTATTCGGTTCCCATTTGGCTCCGATTCGGTTCCCATTTGGTTCTTATTCGGTTCCCATTTGGCTCCCATTTAAATCTAGATCCGATTTGAGGTTGCCATTTGGTTCCTATTCGGTTCCTATTCGGCTCCCATTTAGCTCCGATTCAATGCTTATTCGATTCCCATTTGGCTCCAATTTGGTTCCCATTTGATCCCCATATGATCCCATTTAGATCCGATTTAAATCTAGATCCGATTTGAGGTTCCCATTTGGTTCCAATATGGTTCCAATATGGTTCGGATACGGTTCCAATACGGTTCCAATACGGTTCCAATATGGTTCCAATATGGTGCCAATATGATTCCAATATGGTTCCAATATGATTCCAATATGATTCCAATATGGTTCCAATATGATTCCAATATGGTTACAATATGATTCCAATATGATTCCAATATGGTTACAATATGGTTCCAATATGGTTCCTATTCGGTTCCCATTTGATCCCCATTGATCCCCATACGATCCCATTTAGATTCAATTTAAATCTAGATTCGATTTAGGGCTTAAACTTACTAGAATCTTGTTCTAGAATCTTGAATCTTTCTAGAATATTGTTCTTGAAGAACATGACTGATTCGAGGTATTGAGGTATTGATCAGGGTTTAAATAGTTACTGAATCATAGTGATACTTCATATTCTTTTAAATCAGACATTCATAGCCCTATTCAATTCTAGGCACTATACAAACATCAACCTATCGCCCATCATTCGTCGCTCAAGTCCTGCCCAATAACAACAACTTTTTACAACGCCAGGTGAGAAATTGAGGTCTTTCTGGGTAAACCAAGGCTAGAATAAAAGCCAGTTTTGGTCTTGCTTTACTCCTGACTTGACCACAAGCCAGAAAAGTATCTAATCTATCCCAGTTTACAAGCTGGCCTAACTTTACTCCTGGCTTGATCAGCCAAAAGTTACTGCGCAAGCCAAAAACCACTTGTTCTCTGTTTTGGCTTAATCTGGCTTACAGACAGGCTAAACACTGGCTGGCTGGCTAAACACTCATTTACCAATGCCTTTCCTCAAGAGTATTTTCAGTTCGATGCCTCTCAACAACAGCAACAACAGTTTTTCGCGAGTACTGGGTTTCCTCTAATAAAAGCGGGACTGGTTCGGAGAGACTATAATCGTTAGTTTTTAACAATTACAATCTATCAAAAGCTATTTAGAGCAAGATCCAAATTTCTACGATTGCGTTTACGCGGTGGCAAACACAGCAAATACGGTCACCGAGACATGTTACAAGGAGATTGGCTGCTGTGAGGGAGGATGCTGCCCAAATTCATACTGGTAAAAAAACGTTTTTATAGTCAACAAGTTCTCGTGAATCTTTTACATATGTTTGTTTGCTGATATTGAAAAGTTTACTGATATTGAAAGGTGTCAAAAGTTCATGAAGTTATCTAGCTGGCTGGAGAAGTTGTAGAGTAAGTAGAGTAAGTAGAGTAAGTAGAGTAAGTAGAGTAAGTAGAGTAAGTAGAGTAAGTAGAGTAAGTAGAGTAAGTAGAGTAAGTAGAAGAGTAAGTAGACAAAAATCAGTAGACAAAGAGTAGAGAAAAACTTTGAAAAACAATTCAAAAGATACAAATTGACAAACAGAAAGAACAGAAATAATATAACGATTAGTTAAAGAGTATATTAAAAAGTATTACAGAATTTGGTACTTGTAAATCTGTGTTTTTACATGGATTCTATCTATTCAGTAAAATCTAATCTTGCCAAAAAGCCTAGCAAATGAACTCATTTATCTAGCTACCGTAAATACTATAATAGTACCCCACCGCCCTCGTACAGTCGCGTAGTCGCAAAAGTTTTTTAGTATTTCATTTGCAAAGCACCCGTACTTTCAAAAAAAAACGTCTTTGGTATCAAAAAATAGCTGAAATTCAGGGCTATTTTTTGATACCTAAGCGCGCATTGTAGCATAAACCAGTGTCGAGAAAAACGCGTTTTTTCGGGATTGTTGCGTAGTCTAACTTTAAACATTCTGTTCTCCGCGCTGCTTTATGCTACGATGCGCGCTTAGGTATCAAAGAATAGCCCTGAATTTCAGCTATTTTTGATACCGAAGCGAGCATTGTAGCATAAACCAGTGTCGAGAAAAACGCGTCCAAAGCTAGACTACGCAACTCTCCGCACCGTCATTATGGCGGTGGGGTACTATTACAGTATTTACGGTATGCGGAAAAAAAACCGAACAACATTCACGAATCCATCAAATCATGCCGAAAAATGAGAAGAATGGTAAAAGGGACGCTTTGTGCGGGGTACGGCAGCCTGTCCACACTTTAGAAAGCGCGCCATTCTGCTTTCGGGCCAGTCTCTTTAATCCGCATGTAAATTGGATTCTAACTACACGTTTATCAACTAATTATTCATTTATAAGCGTAAATTTTAAAAAGACGGAAAGATTTTCTGGCTAAAACCAATAATCGCCATTAGTAAGTCGACCGGTTAGCGTAAATGTGTTTAAAAAAAGTCTTTGAAAGTTTTTAGCTTTAAGTTTCTCTTGTGGAGATTGTCTACAACTAGAAAACAAAAAAGATTTGCTATAAATGAAACAACAAACAGCTATAAACAATAAACAATGATTAGCTGAAGTGGTGTAAAGAATCAAATCAAAGAATTAAATCAAAAGAATCAAATCAAAATCAAAGAATTCTCATTGTTGATCAGCGCAACTTTAGGCACGAAAAGTACGGTTGGGCGGTGGCGTTGATCGTGATTTTCTGCATCTTTGTCATCATTGGGGTGGCTGTTTGGCTGGTGGTTTGGTTGATGAATCGGTGAGTTGAAGAAATAGTTAGTTGGATATTTCAGAAATAAAAATAGCTATTGATTCAATAGCTACTGATTCAATAGCTACTGATTCAATAGCTTTACCGTATTCCAGTTCTCGTGACAAACAGATGCGTCGCGACTTGGCATCGGCGCAGAGCGGAATCTCACCCGCGCACTCACAGGTTACTAGAAAATCATACTATAGTTAAATGTGATATTTTATCTAGATAATATCTAGACCAATATATTTTAGATATTATATTGGGTTGATGCATAATTATCCGGACTTCTTTTATAAATGATTTTATTTAACAAAAAATAACATAAATAGTTAGAAAAATATGTTTAATTGATTATTCTGGAGCATATTCACCGCCTACATCAATAACTGATTGCCATTTGCTTGGAAGACGATCGATTCCACGAGCGAAGAATAAACGATCTTTGGAGGCAATCCACGCTTTAACATCGTCTATCAAGTCATCCAAATCGTTGTAGATCTTATTTGTTTGCCAATTTTTGAGCGATCGATTGACGTGGTAGTCCGTTGGGGCTTCTCCAGTTCTTTGAGATCGCGAAACGACTCTGCGGCAGACCATCCCTTTTCGAAGTGGTAGAGCATGATATGGCGAAGATGGATATGATTGTCGACACGCATTTTGTTCACTAAAGAATAACGAATATTTAAAAAAAAGAAATAGACAAAAAGCTTTCAAAACAAAAAAGATACAAGCACGCAAAAAGAAGTCCGGATAATTATGCATCAACCCAATATTATAAAGATCTTTTTAGACAAGCCTCTACAATCGCCAACAGACTCCAATCTATGCTCCTTATGGACAAAATTTGCCTGCCGCTAATGCCGCCTATAAATACTAAAGATATAAGCAATATTTAATTGATGTTTTGGTAAAATTGTTGTACAAAATGAGAAATAATTCGAGAGAAAAGAGCAATAAATGATTTGAAATCGAGAGCTTTTCAACAATTGAATCAAGGCATTCAAAAGTTTTACTACAAAAATTTAATGTTGTTAAGCTTTTTTCAAAATCCAAATAAACTTCTTAAAGTTTAGCGGGTATTTCGGGCTATTTTTGGCATTTTTAGTGAATTAAACTATCAATGCCAAAAAAGGACAAAAATCTGTAATGTGCTTGTGATTTTATTCGGCATTTTATCATTTACTTGCAAATTTTATGCAGTGTCAAAGTCATAAGAACCGTTTAGCGTGTCCTTTACGATTAAAGCGTTTTGAGAAAACGTGTACCGTAAAACTACCGTAATCTGTCTACCGTAAACTGTCTTGAGTTTAGTCTGCTTCCGTGATAGATCGTGAAGAAAACTTAAATACAAGAAATAGTCGCAATATAACGCAGTACATTACACAGTACATTACACAGTACATTACAAAGTACATTACAAAGTACATTACACAGTACATTACAAAGTACATTACAAAGTACATTACACAGTACATTACGCAGTACATTACGCAGTACACTACGCGGTACACTACGCGGTACACTACGCAGTACATTACGCAGTACATTACACAGTACATTACGCAGTACATTACGCAGTACATTACGCAGTACATTACGCAGTACATTACACAGTACATTACGCAGTACATTACACAGTACATTACGCAGTACATTACACAGTACATTACGCAGTACATTACGCAGTACATTACGCAGTACATTACGCAGTACATTACGCAGTACATTACACAGTACATTGCGCAGTACATTACGCAGTACATTACGCAGTACATTACGCAGTACATTACGCAGTACATTACGCAGTACATTACGCAGTACAACTAAAATCAAGGTTACGGACGTTTTTAAAAACTTGCCATGTTTTATAAAGTCACTATTTCAGAACAAGTCAGCTTTAAAGTTAACCATTGTATTATGGAAGGATCAGGAAAGTCAGAATGCTTCAGAAAGAAAACGCCAGAAGAATTTGATGCTAAAGAGTACCCTTTAGTACCAGATCTTATAGATACCGGATCTGGATTTTAATGTGTCTAGCATCAGTTAACCATGGGCCTAGGATAAACAGAAAATCTTCTTTAAAAGTTGGACTAATCTGATCGTTTTATTCCATTTACCTGCCTAGATCCAGCCATGTTAACTCCGCTCCTTTTTCGGGTATTCGGGTAAATGCTTTAAAAATACTCTACCGTAACCAACTATGTCACAATAATCCGTGCGTTGGTACTGTGGCCGTAAAGATTACCATCAATAGAGATCAGATCTAGACAGACATGTTAACTCCGCGTCCTTTTTCGATCCGTTTCCCGTTCGCAATCTACAAATTTGACTCGTACCTTAACCTTCATTTGTTAGAAAATTTCATTTCGAGTCGAATGAAAGTAAATTCAACGCTTTTTAAACAAATTCGGTTAAGGTACGACCAAAATTTGTAGATTGCGAACGGGAAACGGACCAAAAAAGGGCGCGGAGTTAACCTGTTTGTCTAGATCTGATCTCTATTGATGGTAATCTTTACGGCTATGTACGGCCTCTTTACGGCTAACGCATGACTGTAACATAGTTGGTTACGGTAGAGTATCTTTAAAGCATTTACCCGAATTGTCACTCGGATTAAGTGTACAATGGAACTGTTTTCTCTTGACATCTTGTTGGGCCGTTCTTTACGGCTAAGTACGGCCTCTTTACAGTCAACGCATGGATCACTGTAACATAGTTGGTTACGGTAGAGTATCTTTAAAGCGTTTACCCGAATCGTCACTCGGATTAAGTGTACAATGGAACTGCTTTCTCCTGACAATCTCATCTTGTTGGGCTGTTCTTTACGGCTAAGTACGGCCTCTTTACAGCCACCGCATGGATCACTGTAACATAGTTGGTTACGGTAGAGTATCTTTAAAGCGTTTACCCGAATCGTCACTCGGATTAAGTGTACAATGGAACTGCTTTCTCTTGACAATCTCTTGTTGGGCTGTTTATCAAAAGTCTGCAAAAAATCAAATTGTCTGCAAAAAAACTGTCCAAAAAGGTCAGATTTGTTTATTTTTGCTCTTATTTGTTGGAAAGAGAAAGAGATATGAATGGGGAAAAGAGGGAAAAGGAAAGAGTCGATGGGAATCGATTCCCTATTCTATATTGACTCTCTTTCACTCTTTCACTCTTCACTCCTCATTTCTCTTTTCACTCAAAAACAGCTCTCACTTCGATTTATTGAATTTACACCGACTTTTTACTTGTTATCTTGGTACACTTAATTAATTAGCATTTTTTTAACCTTGATTAGCATCTGTTTTTGTATAAATTTCCCATTAAATTACAAATTTAGCAAATAAAATTTGGAGTTTAATTTGAAATATAGCTTGATTTACCTTTTAAAATGAAAATCTTCTTCAAAAAAGATGTACTTATGACTTTTTGTCGATCAATTGAGCAATTGGGCTGAGAAGGCTTTGGTAGAGATCAAAGCTGAGAAGGCTTTGGTAGAGATCAAAGCTGAGAAGGCCTTGGTAGAGATCAACGCTGAGAAGGCTTTGGCAGAGATCAACGCTGAGAAGGCTTTGGTAGAGATCAAAGCTGAGAAGGCTTTGGCAGAGATCAAAGCTGAGAAGGCTTTGGCAGAGATCAACGCTGAGAAGGCTTTGGTAGGGATCAAAGCTGAGAAGGCTTCTAGTTCATCCGCCTTATAGTCCAGATATTGCCCCGTCTAACTACCATTTCATTCGAAGTATGCGGCATTCACTCGAAAGCCACAAGTTCCAGAACATTGACGACATCAAAAGAATGGGTCTCTGCTTTCTTTCAATCAAAGCCAGCACAATTCTTTCATGAGAGTATCCATAATTTGCGTCAAAGATAGAAAAATGCTATTGATAGCTGTGGGGAATATATTGTTGATTAATTGTTTCTAGTTTATTTCTACGAAATAAATTTTGTTGTTGCTCAAAAACGAAATTTCAATGTCGCCAACCTAATCGCAATGAATATTGATTAAAAATCCAATCCCAAGGATCGCCCCTTCTCGGCGATGAATGGGATAAGCACAGGGGAGATAACATTTACATAAGAATAGACAAACCATTCAATTAAGAACAATAGTAACTAAAATATCAGTTTGGCTCAAAGCTGACATCCACCCTTTTTTTGCTTCGATTACCGTCCCCGGTCATCTCCATTCTACCTTTGTTTTCAATTGTATTCATTTCCTCCAGTCGTTGCTTTTGTGATCTTCCTCTTTTCCGTTTTTCTTGCTCTTGCTCTTGCTCTTGCTCTTCTTCCTCTTCTTGCTCTTCTTGCTCTTCTTGCTCTTCTTGGACTTCTTCCTCTTCTTCCTCTTCTTCATCTTCTTCCTCTTCTTCCTCTTCTTGCTCTTCTTGCTCTTCTTGGACTTCTTCCTCTTCTTCCTCTTCTTCCTCTTCTTCCTCTTCTTCCTCTTCTTGCTCTTCTTGGACTTCTTCCTCTTCTTCCTCTTCTTCCTCTTCTTGCTCTTCTTGCTCTTCTTGCTCTTCTTGCTCTTCTTGCTTTTCTTGCTCTTCTTGATCTTGCTCTTCTTGCTCTTCTTGTTCTTCCTGATTGTCCTCTTGAAATTTAATTTTATTCTGTCTTGCTTCGACAAACTTTTTCACGCGATCAACCTGAACTTCTTGTACTTTCTTGTACACTGGAAATTGCCTTCACGAACGAGTAATTTAGATCCTTAAGAATAAGAATATCCAAATCATTCTTAAAAGTTTCCCTTAGCGCTGACATTCTCGTTTTATCAAAAATTAAACAGAAAAATTTCAAAATAAAAACCTTTATATGAACTTTTTTATTTCTAAATTCTTATCTTTTAAATTCTTATCTTTTATTTTCTTTCTTGTCCTTTTAGTTTGATATGCGAAAAACTGGGAATACGGTTCCAATACGGTTTCTATTTTCGTATTGGAACCGTATTGGAACCGCTTTACATGAAAATTCATTTTTTTTTCGACTTTTTCTAAAATTTTCTTAAATCGAAATTTTTTCTAAACTTATTTTAGATATTATTTAATAAATTTTCAATCTTTAAATTATATATAATTTGTGAATATTTTGCACAAATGAGCTCTTCAAAAAAAAAGGAAAAAAAAGGCCGGCAAAAGCACACATGCCCAATTTGATGAAAAAGTGTATGAGCTGGATTTTTGCACTCAATTCATTGATTGGAAAGCTTTTTTATTATTATTTTTCGATTCTATATAATTTAAATTCTCTTCTTTCTATTGTCATTTAATTAAAAAGTAAAAATATCTGAAAGTTTTTAACGGAGAACGGCTACGATTTCTAAATGTCACTTTAGAATTTGAAAACCATTCTATTAGGTTGTTCGGATATAAACAAGCGTTGCTAAACTTATTGTTGTGAGAGAAGCTTTTAAAATATGTATTTCTGTATTTAAAAGTACGTTATCTTGTGTATATTTGGAATATTGTTAAACGGATAATTTCCTATTTTTAAAATCTTTTTTCTTGCTTTAGATCACCGATTTCAAATATTGGGTTGGTGAATTGAAAACTGTGAGACTTTGAACTAAAATTTATTCAACATAAAACCATCAATTCATTCGAAATAATTTCCATTATTATTGACGACTTCTGCCCATTATACAGGCAATTTGCGGATTCCTCTTTCGTAGTAGGATTTTGGTTTGTGTGTGAGACAAGTGTGAGACTCAAAAATGGAGGACTGGAGATGTCCCAGTTTGAGCACTTTCTTCAAAAGAAACCCATTTTGGTGTCAATAGAAAAGTTGTAGAGAATCAAAAATGAGGCTTATAGCCAAATTTCCAAAAAGATACACTTAGTAGTTTTGCTTAAAATGCAAGTTTTGTGAAAATTCGTAAATTTCGCATTTCTTGAAAGCCAGTTTTTGAATCGTTCTGAAAATTTGCCTATAAACTTGATTTTTGATTCTCTACAACTTTTCCATTGACACCAAAATGGATTTCTTTTGAAGAAAGTGCTCAAACTGGGACATCTCCAGTCCTCCATTTTTGAGTCTCACACACAAACCAAAATCCTACTACGAAAGAGGAATCCGCAAATTGCCTGTAAAATGGGCAGAAGTCATCAATAATAATGGAAACTATTTGGAATGAATTGATGGAATTGATGGTTTTATGTTGAATAAATTTTAGTTCAAAGTCCAGGAGTTTTCAATTCACCAACCCAATATATCAAGTTCGCGTCTGCCTACTTTACGACTTCTAACTGGGCAAAACCGTTGCGGAATCCCATCGAGATTTGGTCAAAGCATTTGGGAATGATGCATTATCCGAAAGCCGATGCCGAGCCTGGTTCCAACGCTCTCGGAATGGTGATGAGTCTCGAGGATGATGAACACTCTCGTCGACCTCAAGCGGTAGACAACGATACTTTGAGGGCTGCAATCGAATCGGATCCATGTCAAACGACGCGTGAACTTGCTCGACAGTTTCTATGTTCAAATTCTACTATTGAAAAGACGATCTGATGCAGGAAATGGCTTCCTCACGAGTTAAGCAGTGCAAACGCTCGTTTATATCCGAACAACCTAATATAATTTAACATCAGCAGGTTAATGGTTGAAGGGCTTCTAGTTTTTTTTTCCTCCCCTCCAGATGGGGCCTTCTATTACAATATTTATGTTAGAGTCAGTCAGGTCAACCCAGGTTAGAGGCCAGGTTTAGACTAGCTTCTGACTAGAAACCAGAAAATCTTGGAGCTCGGATTATCTACCTTCCCTGATTTCATAACCTAACGTTCACCCATGAACATCAATGAAACACAAATGTAAGGGATTCGATCGAATAGTGCTTAAAATTGCAAAACTTTTTTCTAAAACATGTTTAATAGGTTGTGGCTCTAAAAATCGATTCACTTCACAATATTGATTGTTATAGAAAGCCAACGTTCTCGCCTTTTCTCTCATTTTCCCTATTTCAATCAAGAGAAAATCGAGTGAGAGATTTTCATTCACTCGATTTTCTCTAATACATAAATTTTACACAAACCACCGACTTTCATTTTAGGTTTTTCATTTCGTCTTCTCATCTATTGTTTCTCAAAATCTCTTTATTTTAGCTACAAGGAAATGTTCGATATTAGAAGGTGAGTTTTGAGCAAAGTCATAGTCAGATTAGGCCTGATGTCAACTCTTCACAGCTGCTGTACTTTGTACTTCATAATATGTAAACACATCGTTTCTGGCATAAGAATTCAATATTAAGTCTGAAGCCAGAGTGTCCAAGGAAAGCTTAAAATGATCTAGAAAGCTTTGAGCCAGAAGAGCCAAAGCAATTTTATAGAAAAGAGCGGCCAAAGTCAAACAGGCCAAGCCAAGCCAAAGCTAAAGCCAAAGTTTTATGCTAAATCCAACGGTAAGGTTGAAATTCCAGGCTAAGGTTAACTAGAAAGCCATTGGCTTGGCTTGCTTGCCAGCCCTTCTTCCACAGTTTTTCACATTTCTCATAAATCACAAAAACAGCAAAGAGTCACCAGAAAGGATTTGTTTGCATCTTTTGACACCCAAAGAACACTTTGTCCTTTCAGATTTGACATCTATCGAAAAATTCCTAAAGATTTAACTCAACCAACCACGGCTGGTGCGGTGATCTCAATTCTTTGTGTCCTTTTCATCACTTTCATGTTGTTCAACGATCTTTTAGCGTATATAAAGATAGACGTGTGAGTTTGAATAATTTGCTGATGCTGAGAGTTTGAATAAATAAGCAATCAAAACTGATTACATGATTTGTTTATACCGCGTTCTCTCTAATATTAGTGCACCCTGAGCGTCGTCTAAATTGCTTGAAATCTCAAGAACCGCTTATCAGAACCTATCGATGTGGGGTCGGAAAATGTAGCTGACGATGAGAGCTAGTGGGGGATTTGAGTGTTGAGCTTCTGCAAAAACTTGGAAACTGTAAAATAGTCACCAACTCGGCGCGCTGGGGTGCACTACTATTAGAGAAAATATGCTATTATCTATGTACATTTTAAAAACAGAAAGTTTCCCTTTGTTTCATCAAAAAGCCCATTCACTTTGTCAAAAATTTCTATGGAATTCAAGTTTAAATAAGCATTCTCTGAGGAGATACGGGTTTCCAATAGGGTTTCCAATAGGATTTCCAATAGGGTTTGATCACTGTACAGAATGGTTGAAAAGCAGGTTTGACAAAAAAAAGCGAAAAGCCAGCAGCTTTCAACTACTGTATTTTCCCTATGCTAAATTCCTCGAAATCTCAAGAACCGCTTATCAGAACCTATCGATGTGGGGTCGGAAAATGTAGCTGACGATGAGATCTAGTGGGGGAATATAGTGTTGAGCTTCTGGGAAAGCTTGGAAACTGTAAAATAGTGATCAACTCGACTCGGTTTGGTGACTACTATTAGAGAGAATACGGTATAAGCAATTTATAACTTAATTTGTAAATGAATCAATCTAATTTTAGAAAAGACGAGATTTTCGTTGACGATCCGGGACGAGAAGGGAAAATCGATGTGCAAATCAATGTCTCATTTCCATACATCGAGTGCAAATGTAAGTTGTAGGATATAAATGACTCCATTATATTAGGTATGTGCAGAAGATTTTGATCAAAAAAGTTTTAGAAGATTTAACAATTTATTTGCAACTTCAATCCAAAATATAATTGTCTTTGTTGTCTATAAAACTTCTCGATCTTTCGCTCAAAGAGATTCCTCTGTCATAAAAGTCGGCAAGCTGAGAACCAAAAAAAAGGCGGCCAGCCAAGCCTGGATTTCCTCGTGATTGTTGAACTTCTTGTCGGCCAAAGAATAGTGCATAAATCGGAATAAATGATAATCGCAAAGAAGCCAAGTCAAGAAAGGCGGATAAAACAAGGTTTTCCAGCCATGTTCCTCAAGCTTTTCGTAAGTGAATTTTGCTGTGTACGGTACGGCCGGGCATTATCCTGGATGTATCTGATGGTCGATTCCTTGCTTATGCAGTGCTTGATCGACTCGTTCAAGTTGTTGAACGTCGAGTTCTTTCGTGACGATTTGCTCAGTTTTGAGAACCTCCAGATGCACCAATTCTTTGGAATTCCACCAGACACAAATCATCGCCTTCTTTCTGTGTTGCTTGGCTTAGGCACTCTTGGAGCTTCTTCCGGATTCAACCACTGCCTTTTAATTAAATTATTGTACCCGCTTCTCATCCGAAGTATGAATTGAATACCAAAAGCCTTTTGCTTTTGATTTACTAAGCAGGATTCTCGATAGCAACTCGTGTGGCCAGATTCTCATCACTGAAAAGATGAGGTACCCAATTTCCGGCTCAATTTGACTTTCCGAGCTTGTGTAGATGACGGGTAATTGTTATAGGACCAACATCGTATAATTTCACGAGCTCATTACCAGTCAAACGTGGATCTTCTTCAATTTTTTTCGGCGGCATCAATGGTGAGAGAACCGTGGCACCAATGGTGAGAGAACCGTGGCACCAATGGTGACTGGACTTTTTTAAACCATTGGCCACTTTGACTATCAGATATTATGTCTGGTCTAAAGACTGAAGCTAGTTTTTATGGCATTCCACAGCGGTCTTTCTCTGATACAGCCACGGACACGATCCTTGAGGTTCTTCATCTCTAATATAAAAAGAAGCAGCAAAATATCAATTGAGAAACAATAGAAATAGTCAAACGTGGGTAAAAATGGAAAAAGAATTAGCTGAAAATGTTGAAGTGATGATTAGATACAAGCTAAAGTTCATCCGCATTTCTTATGTGGATGATAGCTTGTATAGCTTGTATAAGCTTTGATAGCTTGTATAAGCTATCAAATCTAAATACTTCGATAGCTTGTATCTAATCTAAATACGCTAGATCTAATCATTAATCTAAAAATAGATTTCTTTCAGATCTAGGAGTCGATATTCAAGACGAGAATGGACGTCACGAAGTGGGATTTGTCGATCAAACAAAGCGAATCGCGATCCTTGACGGGAATGGTTGTCGCTTCGAGAGTGAATTCGAGATCAATAAAGTGGGTGCTAGAAGTTTCTTTGTTGAAAATTTTCTTTACTTTATTTTAAATGAATGCTAGGTACCCGGGAATTTCCATCTATCCACTCATTCGGCTCAAGAACAACCGTCCGATCCCGATATGAGACATCTCATTCATTCGCTCACTTTTGGTGATGATGTAACGGTAAGCAAAAAACAACATAGATACTGCACCATTGTAATTTTCTAGATTTTCTTTGCAAAATCATTGCTGACAATTTAGAAAAGCTTTTGTTTTGGGTTTTTTGGGGTTTTTCGAAAGTGCAAAAATGAGTAGGCAAAATTTAAGTGAATCGACGGTTGGCAACTTTTTTTGATGTGAACTGGCACTAGCTTTCTATGCCAAAAAAAGATCAAAGTGTGCAATAAATTGAGCTGGCTCTAGCCTAACCCTTATTGGTGTATGGCTGGTATTGGCTGCCTAATTGATTATGTTGGATCGCTGACTTGAGTCAGATCTAAAATATTAGCTGATTGGGAAGAGCTGGCTGGACTGCTCCCAAAGTTAAAGATGTTCCATTTAAGCATACAGTACTTATTCAGATTTAATCAAACTTATTAAATCAAAAAAAGAACTTCCAATTTGCATGCCTATTATCGAAACTTTTAGAGCAAATCACTGAAAGGAAGCTATGATCCACTCTCCGGTAGAGATCGGACAGGACATGGACAAGGGCTCAACACACATGAATATATTTTAAAGGTAAAACCCCCTAAACTTTAACACATTGAGTAGTTGTTACTGTTTTACTGATAATTTGGTGTGAATTCGAAAATAAACTAAACCATCGGGTTGGTGAATTGAAAACTGCCGACTATTGTCATAAGTGACAGTTTGAGCACTTTCTTCAAAAGAAACCCATTTTGGTGCCAATGGAAAAGTTGTAGAGAATCAAAAATCAAGCTTATATCCAAATTTTCAGAACGATTCAAAAACTGGTTTTCAAGAAATGCGAAATTTACGAATTTTCACAAAACTTGCATTTTAAGCGAAACTACTAAGTGTATCTTTTTGGAAATATGGCTATAAGCCTCATTTTTGATTCTCTACAACTTTTCTATTGACACCAAAATGGGTTTCTTTTGAAGAAAGTGCTCAAACCTTGACATCTCCAGTTCTCCATTTTTGAGTCTCACACTTGTCTCACACACAAACCAAAATCCTACTACGAAAGAGGAATCCGCAAATTGCCTGTAAAATGGGCAGAAGTCGTCAATAATAATGGAAATTATTTGGAATGAATTCATGGTTTTATGTTGAACAAATTTTAGTTCAAAGTCCCGCAGTTTTCAATTCACCAACCCAATAAAAAGTTGGCAAAAAGCTGACAAAAAGCTGGGACTGGGAATTGTACTGGGAGTTGCTGGATAGAAAGACGACCGTTAATGCAATCAAATACAGTGAACGGTTGGGAAAGGCGAATGAATCCCTGAAGAAGAATAGGCCCTCCAAGTCAAAGATCGTTCTCATCCACGACAACGCAAAACTGACTCGCTCTAAAATAAATAGCCTTGTTTGGGACCTTTTGGCGCATTCCCCATACAGGCCGGACCTCGCCCCTTTTGATTACTTTTTATTCCGGATCATGAGTAGTGAGCTTGCGGGAGAACACTTCGATTCGGAAGAAGCAGTCAAAAATTGGCTTTGAAAGTTTTTCGATTCAAAACCAAAATCCTACTGCGAAAGAGGAATCCGCAAATTGCGTGTAAAATGGGCAGAAGTCGTCAATAATACTGGAAATTATTTAGAATGAATTGATGGTTTTATGTTGAATAGATTTTAGTTCAAAGTTCAAAGTCAGTTTTCAATTCACCAACCCAATATTTTAGTCATTTGATAGCTCTGAATCTCCTCTTGAAAACTAGTACAAAGTTATCAAGAACTTTCTGCAAAATATGTGCTTAAAAACTTCCTAGGTTGTTTTGTAGCCGTAAACTTTAAGATTGTTCCCTCGGTTTACCAGGATATCGATGGTGGAGTGGTGAACAGCTATCAATACACCTATGGGCACAAGTTTGACGTAAACAAATTTGAAAAACTTTGAACATTTAGAGAATATTTGTCGTACCATCACTCTGGTCGAGTGATTCCGGCGGTTTGGTTTAAGTATGAGCTTCAACCGATCACCGTGCGGAGAACCGAGTACCGACAAAGCTTTTACACGTTCCTCACTTCGGTAAATTTCTATGAAATCAAATGGCTTTTTCTGGCAAATTAGCATTTAAAAGCGATCAATGCTATCATAAAAAGCTATCATTTACATAGCTATCAATGAAATCTAGCTTCTAAAGTTCAAAACCGCTTTGTCTTTGTCTCAAAGTTCCCCAGAAACAGTTGGCTTTAAAATCTGGTGTTGTAGGCTTTAGGCTGCTTCGACATCCAGCAATGTTGACTGCTTTGCTTTGCAAATTTGCATTTAAAACCCTAGCGGTTGAATTGTGAAGTCTAGATCGTGAAGTTTAAAAACCTGTATTGATTTAAACTTTAAAATTGATTGAGTCAATCTTTCAACTGTACAAACGTGTATTGAGTTTGTAAAAGTAAAACCTTTCAATGCGCTTTGAGTGAAAATTGGATCTGTTGGAATTGGAGATCTGAAAATTGGAGATATAGGTAGACCATCTGGTCTAGAGTGTGCTCCTTGTTGACAGTAAATTTGTCAGACAAATTTTTCTTGACAACTTTTTTGTCAGACAATTGATCCGACAAACTTCCGACAACGCGTTTTCTAAAAGGTGCGCTTTTTAAGCAAAGCTATAAGGGTCGCAACCGTCCGTTTGTTTCCACAAGCTCTGATTTGCCAAAATTTCGATTCTACGCCCTAAAATTACCTAGAAAAACAATTTTTGGAATAGAAATTGGTTAATATTAGCTTTTAGAGCTTTTTTAAAACGCGAAAAAAGGTGCGCTAATGGGCAAAGTGCGCAAATGTTCGGGTACGCAAAAAAAAACTCGCATTTGTCCCACTCCCGTACATTTGCATTTTGAAAAATTTGCTGATGCAAAGCATAGGGTTACGGTAGCTTATCCTTGGTGCGCGCTTTTTAGAAAACGCGTTGTCTGCAAGGAACACACTCTAATCTGGTCTACCAATATCTCCTAGACTCCGTTTATCTTGATTTCTATCAAAAGGTTTTTCTATTCTCTTGCTACAATAGATATTATTATTAAAAGATATTATTGCTAATCATTTAATAAAACAGATCCCAAAACTATAATCAAATCGTTTATTTCCAGGTTTGTGCGGTTGTTGGCGGGACATTCACCGTTGCTGGTATCATTGATTCAACTTTTTTCACCATTCATGAAATGATCAAGAAACAACAACTCGGAAAGCTCACATAAGACAAAATAAAATATGAAATATGCATTCTTGAGCTTTAAAAGTCGTCAATATTATAATAATTTTACAAAAAGTTTCTCTTGTCTCTTTTGATTAACTTTTAAGCAATTGTTCAATCTATTCATTCCGGTTTTTAATATCTTTTATGCTCTTAGGGATCACTTTTCTTTGGCCTCTTTAAGCCTATTGTTATTTTGATTTGTTATAGACAAAACGGGTACGAAATATTGATTGTAAGGATTTTAGAAATAAACATTTGATACTAATAACCAGCGATATTCCAGTCAGACATTCCAGTCAGACATTGAAGTCAGACATTCCAGTCAGACATTCCAGTCAGACATTGAAGTCAGACATTCCAGTCAGACATTCCAGTCAGACATTCCAGTCAGAGAAATTGAAAAAACAACAATGAAATCAAGCAAAATCCGTCTCTATTTATGTGAAGAAATGGCACGAATCGCTCATTCGATTTGTCATATTGTAAATTTTCAAGAGTCTATTCCAAATCCAATCAACTAAAGCATTTTAGTCATAAAACCTCTTTCGTAAGTGTCACAGAGTGTCCAGCGAGTTTCTTCTTCCAATAATACATACAAGGAAACCAATTTCGATCAGCCAGATCAACCAAAAATCTTCATTCCACAATTATTGGGTTGGTGGGTATGAAATGTCGCTTTTTCTTCGATTCATCCCTAAACTCGTAAACCAAACGGAGGTGGAGGCTGAAACTAATAAAGTCAAGAACACTTTCAAAAACAATGAAACCAAGCTTCCTCACTTTCTGTTATTTCGAAATCTTGGCAACTTTTACTGTGGTTGTTGATAATCTGCACACAAAGCAAAATAAAAGTAATCGCAGCCGGATCCGAACCAGCTATTGAAATCGCCCGTTTTAACCGCTCGTTTTAAGTCAAGGTCGAGTGACGATTAGCTGGTTATTTGTAATTTTCCCTGCATAAAATCAAATGCGTTTTTACGGCTTCAGCAGCCCTACGCGGTATTTTTGACTGTAGATTCGGGATCAGCGTGAAAAAACTACGCTAGATTAGCTAGGTCTCGTTTTGAAACCCGGTGGTAGCTTAGTGAACCTCCATTGTTAGTAGGATTAGCCTAAAGCTTCTCTTACCGTCCACGACTCATCATGCATGGCAACCGTTGGTGAACCGAAATAGTCGACCGGTGATCCGTCAGTCTGTCACCGAATGGACAAGCTATTAATGAAACATTTTATGAAAATAAGCAAAACCCAAGAAGTTCAAATAGTGGCCGCATTTCGGAAAAGGAAATGATCGCTTCGTATGAGAGAATTCTCACCGTTTTCTCTTTTTTTCAATTATCATAAAAGAGAAACAGTGCTTTGTAAGCTGTTTTTCCCACATCTGTAATCTTTGGTTTGTAATATTAATCTTAATCGAGTTAGCTGAATTCAAATCATTGATTAAAGACAATTGAGCTCATAATTTACTGGATTTTCTGACTATTTGATAAAAAAAATGTTTTCAAGAGTTCAACATAAGACTTTACTCTGCAAATTGGATCTCAATTAAGCGGGCGGTGCTTAATTGAGATCCAATTTGTTTGGATCTCAATTAAGTTTGTGAATGGCGCCGAACTCAAGCAATAAAACACGGTTTTTGGTGTGAAATATCAAGTTGAAAGCAAAACATTTCAAGTATTTAGATGGGATTTCTAGATGATTCTATTGATTTAAAAGAATTTTTACATTAAATTCTTTAAATAGGTTTGTTGAGAGCAAATTCAGATTCGTCTTTCAATCCGAAACATCCAAAACGAGGCGATGACGGTGGAAAGCCGGTGGTAGTGCTGCAATTGAACGAAAAAGGCGATCGATTGGAATGCAATCACAATTCATTAAAGTGCAAGGAGACGCAACAAAATACTAAAAAAGCTTCTTTTCATTATGGTGCAATTTTTATTTCTACCCTTGAGGAAAGTGAGCATAGTGTAACCGACGAGATAGAAAGAACGCTAGACAAAATTTTCAATCGATTATCAGATCTGAACTTCAGCAAGCCGGCGCAGCAGCTTTCAAGCGATAAAGGTAATAAAATAAGGTGTTCTTTTCATAAATATTAACGTAACTTTTTCAAGTACCAACCACCAACTACCCAAATCTCTGTCCTCTTGCTCAAACATTTGCGAATTCGGCCCTCGAGGTGCAACTTTTACCGTAAAATTCAACATTTTTTTCTTATATTTATCGCATAGGTAAATTTTTCCAAACCACTCAATATAAAAAAAGAAGCAGACACACACAAGCTGCAAAAAGAAAAATGCTTGGAAGTATCATGTTAGAACAAACAACTGATTGTTTTAATAAACACAAGTATTTTAAGAATCTTCACTTTCTTCACCATCGTCGTTGGGTGTGGGTAAACAACCAAATTTCTTGTCCCATTCATGATAGGCCTAAAGATAATTATACCCTGTACCCTCATATTCTTTACCTTTAAATCTTTTTTCATTACTGTTGACCGAACGACATAACATGCCCCACGAAAATCAAAAATTGAGATAAGGGGATCTAAATCATGTTTTTTGTTTAGGCATACAGAAACCAAGCTTACATTTTCAATCGGCACTGTCTCAATGTCATACTTCGAGCCATTAACAATATCCCTGATTGGACCCATAGCTGCTTCACTACATAAGTTTCACATATCGGCTCCAGAATACCCTAAGATTACAAATATCTCAATCAAAATCAAGAGTTGGCCAACTAACCTCTAGTTATCTGTGCAATTTCACCAAGTTCCGGAATGCTGTGAACATTTTGCCGGAGGGAGTTTTCAACCTGAAGCCAAAATAGACAAGGTAAAAAAAACACTAACCATTTGTCTCCTAGATAACTCCTCTAGCAATGGTACGTAAAGTCTTTTTGCAAAACGTCGTGGTGCTGCCAGGTCCAGTTCTTGTGGTCTAAATTTGTCGGGCGAACCCTTACAAACGTTTAGCTTTTTTTACCACCGATTGGTTGCTCCAAAAACCAGAAGTCTTTCTTCAGCAGAAGTTGCGACACCATCAAGCTGAACCAAAAATTCGATTTTAATCCTAAATGTATTTTAAATAAACAGTTTGCTAGTCACAGCCTTCTTGAAGATTCTTTTTAAGTTTGACCGATACTTCAATTTCGGTTTTAGTGACCTCATCAATGAAGATAACACTTGGATCCTTTAGCCTAGCAACGAAAAAGACATTTGTCATGTTACACATTCCGTTGTCAATTTTGCTCCCTCCAGCTGTTTTGAAATCGTTTGCATTACTCATGCTTGGAGTCATAAATTCCCTGCTAAAGAAAAAATTATTCCCTGGAAAAATCTCCTACTTTTTCTGCGTAATTGTTGACACGGTTCTTCGAACTGATAGCTCAACATTTTCTTCAAGTTCCTCATGGCGCCCACCATCCTAAACTCTCTACATAACAAAATTAAAGATAAAATGTAACCGGATCCAAGATATTCAGGATTCATCGCTCCGGGTTCATAACTAACGGACCGCCGCCAAATTCAAAGTCACAGAGATTCAAAGGCCGCTTCGCGGCAAATAAAAAATTAGAATTCGTTGAATTAGCCCATTTATTTCAGCAGACATAGGTATACCAAAAAAGTACAAATTCAACTCACAAAATAAACCATATAGCACAGAAAAAGACGTATACACCAAAAAAATTAGTATTTCTTTCCAGATGGATATTTATTTGGAAAGACTTCGCTTCGGGTAATCGAGGTGAGCGTCAGTGGTAATTCTCCCATTCCAGAAGCAGCTTCGCACTTAAGGTTACTTCGTGGCGGTCGTCTAACCTAAATTTCAAGATTATCAGACAAAATATTAGCATTTTACTTGTTTAAGAAGATCCGGGTCCACTCTAGGACTCAGCATAGCGTGTCCCGAAAGCTAAAAAAACATCAGAAGCTGCAATAAAAAAAGTCTACCGATCCATCAAAGTCCAAAAACATTCGCATGGCTCGGTGTTCCAGCCATTGTTGGTAATTTTCTTGAAGCATGGGAATTTCGCCAACCAGATGTTCAAAGAAGCGAGCAACACATCTTGTTATGTAAATGTACTAAAACAAATTATTGCTTTTCCATAAAAAAATCCAGCTACCTGAATTGGTGTTTCAACACAGAACGGGCGTTGCGATCTTACAAATTGGATTGCCGAATAAATAGTATGCTAAACAGGTTGATAAAGAACTGAAAACTTGAAAATACTAACCTTATAAGCTGGACCACGCAGCAAACTGCAAATTGCTGTTTCGATGGAAACCAAACATCCAGCACGACTAATCCCCAAGTGATCCATAACTGAAATTTAAACCGAGATACAGACAATCGCTAGAAAGTTTGGTTATTGCAAAGCTGGCTGGCTTACCAATTACTGGTTCAGAGCAGTTTCTGGAGACGTGAAGCAAACGCAGTGGGGCCTAAGAATATTTAGTAGAAACAGACCTATATTTTTCTTACTTCAAGATCCTTTGCATCATTCATATCGGCCTGCCAATGTTCCAATAAAAATGAAGTTTTGGTTGCAAGATGACGGATTTCCAAATAAGTCACCTAAACTTTCAATTAATTTTACGAACACAATTTTTTACGCAAAATAGCGGATCAGTGGCTTCATCCACACCCAAGTTGACAATTAAAAGGTCATCATCTTTGTGCTGCCCTTTGTATTGAACTTTGTATTGCGAACCTTTGAGTCTGAAAGAAAATTATTCCTTAACTTCTGTGTAATGTGTTACTTGGGCCAATATGATGCACATCGAGAAGTATCATCTTTACCAATTAGCATGAAAATGTATGGGCTCTTTTTGCTCCAAACCATTTGCCAGAAATCACCTAAAACATATTAGATGCAAAACCGAAACGCTATTACCGATAGTGTTCTCTAAGGGAGCTTGAGTTAAAATGAAAGAGTTGAAAAGCGGCCCTCCTTTAATCTAAAACTTGCTTTTTAAAAAAAGGATAATCAAAGTTTCCAACCAAGTTTGCGTGAATGAAAGTAGCTTCTGTGCCAGCAACATTCAATAGTTCTACTCGGCTATCATCCTTGCATGTAACTTCTAAACTATTGCTTTAGCATATAAACTAAATTAAGCTTACGAGGATTACGGCATTTTCCTGGATTTCTATCAGACCAAATATGGGTGAATGGTTGATATTCAACCTGACTGTCGAGAATCTCGAATCTAAATAACAAATAGCTTTTAATAGACTCGTTTCAAATACCGCCGTTCCATGCCACCCGTAATCGTGCTTAAAAACTTTTGCTTTCTTGCTGGACCAAACATCCGCTTGCCAAGGTAAATGTTGTTATAATCTAAACTGTCAATTTAACGACAACGTAAAACGAATACTAACATTCTCCATGGATTCGTTGTTGATCTTTATCAATGGAAACCGAATGAAAGAAGGCGACTAGGCGCATCATCATACTTTTTAAGTCAATTTGTTTTTCCATGAAGTTGTTCAAAGTCTCATTCTTCCCAATATTAGAGCTTCCACTTGTTTGGGACTAAAATATCACTTCGAGCTGTCGTAAAATAAAATCATACCGATCCTTGACGATTGCTCTGGGTATTAGGTTTTTGATTTAAAGCAGGCGATTTGAAGAAAAAGCTTGGACCTTTCTAAACAGCAAAGATTGTCGCTTTATCCATTTAAACTAATGCATACCGTAGGCTTTGCTTTGTTCACGCCAAAAGGAATACTACGTGGTTGTTCCATACTCCTGAACATTTAAAGTAAATGCGTTTTCGAAACAAAAACTTACTGGCTGCGCTTCTTCTTGATAGTTTTGGGCTCGATCAGATCGCGATATCCAAAAAAATCGTATTTAGCGTTAAATCCAGAAGACACATTGAGCACTCTGAACATGTTATAGTTAAAAACACTTTTCTAAATCCCACGAGTGATGATGATTTAGCTGATCGAATTCACCGACAAAGCTAGCAATAGAGAGCACACGTTCAATTTTGGCACCCCGGCCACCACCAGTCTAAAAGTATTGCAAAGGTTAAAAGAAAATGTAAACTAACAATCGTTCGAAGCTGTTCTCGATTGAGATCCATTTCTGATGATCACCTATAATCAAAGAGCCATTGTTGAGTAAAAAGGAAACAATAAAAAAGACTCGAAAAGTTGGTCAGAACGGAAAGAATTTGAATTCTTTTTCAGATTAGTCGAAGATTTAACTGTCTACTTAGGTAGGTAGGTTCACTAGAGGAGGGTTTAATGGATGATCTATCATTTGAAAGGTTAAGAGGTGGCCAGTCGATCCATCTAGAGGAAATATTCAAAAGATAAATCAGTACTGCTGATGGAAAAAATGTTCAAAAAAATTGTGACAGCGATGCGGAACAAAGTACCTTGCAAATTACCGTAATTTTTTTGAGACAGAGCACTATAATTACAATGACATTCTGTGTGAAACTCGCCTTAACGGCTTCCACAACTTGGTAAGCACCAAAATTCTTTTTTTCCTTCTTTTCAAAACAACCTTTAGCTATCATTTACCGTATTCTCTCTAATAGTAGTGCGCACTACTATTTTTTCAACCCCCTCCTGGACCGCAATACTATTAAAGAGTGCACTACTATTAAAGAGTTTTATCATTTACCAAAGTAAGACAGATATAAGATTTGTTCCAAAAATTCTTGCAACTCTTTCACGTACTCCTTTGGTTCCTTTTGACATACAGTTGTGGGCCGGCGAGTTGACAATTTGTGTGTTGACAAACAACAAAAAGATGTTTTTGCCCTTTGCACAACAATTTTAGATTTTTTGCTAACTTTTTCATGTGAAGAATAGTTAATAAATGAATAAAAAAACCTCACTTTTGCTTGCTTGAATAGCTTTAGAATGTCACATAAACATAAAGTCAAAAAGGTTTAGATGAAAAAGAAGCACCAGAAATTCAAATTTTCGTGGGTGCACTACTATTTTTTCAACCCCCTCCTGAACCGCAATACTATTAGAGAGTGCACTACTATTAAAGAGTGCACTATTATTAGAGAGAATACGGTATGTGCTGTTGATGTATTGTTACCTTGTTATTAACGTACTTGGAACACTTATTTGTTCAATATCGATGAAAAACCAAAAGAATTATGATTTTAAAAAATTTATTCAGCGCGCAATCTAACGATATAAATTCACGAGTTGCCTTGGGTTAATAAGAGCTTCTCAGTAGCACTAAACTGTAATGAAAATATTAAGCATTAAACAGCAGCGGCAAACCTTTATGTTGTGGCATGGGGCTTTTAGCGGTTGGGTCCGAGCGCGTTAATTTTTCGAGTAGAGCTTTTCGGCGTTTGTCCAAAGTATTAGGGAGAATCGTCTTTGGTCGCATTGTTTCGAAACTGACTTGCAAAGTTTTAGTGACACGCATAACCTTGAAAAGAAAATTTAATGTTTTATCAAAATTTCAGACCGATCCAGAGTTCCGATCCGTTCCACAATAGTTAGGTGCTGTGAAAATCGTACAAAGTTGACCATCAGCCTGAATTGCATGGCCATCCTAAAACCAAAGTGCTTTGAAATATAGCTTTTAAGCAACCATAACAAGTTCGTGTGCTCGAACAATCATATCGACGTTAAGTTTAGCACAGAATTGTTTCACAGCATCATCACCAAACAAGTAGGACACCGATCGGAACTGAAAAAAATACAGCTCATACCTATATGTTTAACTGACCATATTGGGAACGAATCCACACGTATCTTGAGTTGGATCGGCCCACATCAAATCAAGAGCAATTCCCTCGTCACATTCTTTCACGGTTTGAGGTTTCTAAATAAACGATTGGCTTCAAAGTAAACTTAATATTGCCTTAAGTTGTCGAACTATATCCCATGAAGTGATATGAGGCGAGATTCCACCATGCTAAAATGCAAAAAAGTCACTTGATTAAATCGTCAAAGTCTCACCATACAAAAAATTCGCTTGCTGACCAATGCACATAGCGGAAGCTCATTAAACACCTTAAGAAAATAAATAATTAACACCAGATATGTTACCCCTTGAAAGACTTTCCACATTCGAACCGTTCTTTTCCTTCTTAATTCCTCGTAAAAACCATAAGAGCGATTGATCTAAATTTAAGCAAATTTTAACATTGCAACAATCATTTACCTTTGCACACTCGTGATTCCCTCGCAACAATTCAATTTTCGACGGATAAAGGAGCTTTAATGAAAGAAGTAGCATGATCACCTAAAACGTAAATCGATAAAAGAAACTATTTGCTTTGAACCTCCAAAGATTTTCCACAACGATCGACGTAGTCTCCGAGAAAGAGACACTTTGTTTTTGGTGGTGAGCCGACAACCTAAACTTTCATATAAGTAAAAGTAAGCGTTTCATATGGAACCTTAAAGAAGCGAAGAAGATCGTGGAATTGGCCATGGATATCCCCAAAAATGACTAATGGAGCGGTCATCTGAACTGGATATTATTGCATTGCAAAACAAAGAAAGATGTAAACCTCGATGAATGCTGATTGACACAAAAGAACACGACGAACTGCCTCGAGGATCACGTAGATCTTAATAAGGTCAAAAAAAATTGATACGAGTACTTAAATGATACCTCATCATCACTGAATGATGCCATCGTTTCTCCTTTCATAAGACGACGAACAATTCGGTGTGCCAACGATTGGACGTCATTTGGCTAAAGTGATTCAGTTTGGTTTGTAAAAGTTGAATATTTTGTGTGATAAATAATCAATACTCAGTATACAAAAAACACGCATTCTTTTAACTAAACAGTTTCGTGAAATAAAATCCCTCGCAAAAACATACCAAATTTTTGGCCTCCTGAATCGATGACATTGAAAAAATAGCCAATTGAACACGTAGATCAGAATCAAGCCGAGTAGCAAATGTGAATCTGGAGGAATAATTTTTGATGTGTTGCTTCCCATTTATTCGAACCTTAAATACAAATTTAAATTTTTATTTAAAACGACACGCTCCGATGCTTTGTTTCAAATAGGTAGTTAAAAAACAAAAACCCCTTGCCATCGTTAGTGGTTTGAACAATTTTGTGGCGACTAGAACGAAGACAGGCATTCAAAGGCCACGAGTTGAATTCACTTTGTGAACTTTCAAAATACATATTTCACTGAAATATTATGTTTTACTTTTTACAAAGCGAACAAACCTTAATTCTTTTAGCCAAAAATCAAGAATGTGCTCTTGTGCAAGTGTCACAATAAGATATCGTCCCATTGGCTTCAGTACTCTAAAATCTGGATGAGCACATTTATATAATCAAATTTACCGTGCAACTTTAGAAAACATTTTTGAAAGCATTTCTTTTTGTTCATCAGCGGGTTGCGGCAACATTGCAGCGAGAGTTCCTTTATCGAGTACAACATCGAAAGTCGAATCAGCAAGCGTCAACTAAACATTTCAGTGATTATTTAAGACTTAAATAGATAGAGATAAAAATTTTGGTACCTTTTTGGCATCATCAACAGAAAATAAGAGTCCTTTATAGTTCCGATTCTTGGCCGATTCTTGCTTGATCACTTTTGCGTTTGTATCCATTGAGTGGATTTGGCGACCCCCATACCTACAAAGAACAAACTGTTCAAGACTGCTAAATTGGTTACCATTCAAATTTCTTCGCTTTCTGCGAAGAATTGGTACTTGTGGAGTTGGGGGCCACTATATTTTTTTCAAAATGACTTTTTCTGAGGTAGTTTTTTTTCACGAAATCACAAATTTCATAGTGGGAGCTTGGGAAAATGCGTCTTAGACCACCTTTTGGGATCCGAAGTCGTCGCCTCTACAGTGTACTTCACTGCGAGCTCACTCTTAGCTTCACTATCCTATAAGGAGAGTCCATCTAAGGCCTCGGAGGATTTCCAACATCTACAGCGATTTTTGGAGGGCATATACTGGCGCTGGCAACATTTTCCGTATGGTGTATCAACACTTGACGGTCAATCGTCTCAACTTCGTCAACCCTATCAATGGTACCCACACACGAAACGTTGAATCAATGTGGTCTTGTTTCAAGAAGTCAATGATCAAACGACCCAACGGAATCAATGTTCGCTCCAATCAACGCTACACCGATTACATCAACGAGTTCTTGTGGAAACAAGAATTCGTAGGCAATGTCTTCTTGAATTTCTGAGATCAGGTCACATTACTCTACCAATGCAAGTGAAAGGCTTTGCCAAAGTAAATCTCCAACCCAACGGTCCTCTTTAGAGCCACAAATTACCATGGGAAACCATCTAAAGTTAACGAAAATCCTTAAAAATGCACAATTTTCAAGTTTTTTTGTGGTGAAAGCGCATTTTCCAGCTTGAGATGTTGAAATTCGGATTCAGCATGAAAAACTACATTAGAAAATGATATTTGAAGGAAAAAAATTGCCCCTTCCCAATCGGCGTAGTACCGAAAAGTGTTAGAAGCCTTGTAAAAAGAAAACAAAAACAGCTAGAAAAATAACACTAGTGTCAACAACTCGAATAAACCTCTACTTTAATAAAGTTCTTTCACCGGACTTTCCCTCTAAACGATCCTTTCTCCGTTCACTTTCTCTAGTTTATTTCCTAGTTATTTCTCTAATTTTATGCTGGAATATGGATTCGATTTATTAAGTAGAAAGCAGGCATTTGGGGAATTAAACCAAAACTTTTCTCTGAAACTCTCATCAAAATCCAATTTCGCTGTTTTATTTGTTCTCGAGAAGCGGGAATTGTTGTGTTGAGTGAAAGTATCGATTCTCGAATTGTGACTCCCCAAGGAGTTTTCTGAAAGTCGAGCTCAAGGATCTAAATTTGGGGCTTTGTTTTAGAATCTTACAATTAGAATTGTATCGTAACTTTACCCCACCGATCATTCAAAATGCAAATTTATCTTTTTAAGGTTAGCGTAAACTTTGAACTCTTTTTTAAGCGTTTTGAGATCTGTTTTGAGGAAAGTTCTGGAGTCTGGTGTACCAGATCCCGAACGTTTAGATCTGGTGTACCAGATCTCGAACGGAATTCAAGGTTTGCTTTTACAATTAGCAATTCATGTATCCAATCTAAATCTAAAATCGATCAAA